GGGAGTCAGCCCCACCATTTGTACAATTTTTAATCACCACCACCTAGGGATGCTTCCAGTCAAATATGGTTGATATCCACTTCTTAGTTCCAGAGAAGAAGTCGCTTAAAGCAGTATAGCCAAATACCCTTTTTGGCCCTGCCCCTCAGCCCCCTGGGGGGTCAGCCACACCATTTGTAAAATTTTAAATCCCTGCCTCCCAGGAATGCTTTTGATCAAATATGATTGATATCCAGTACACAGTTCTACAGAAGAAGTCGTTTGTAGCAATATAGCCAAATTGCCCCTTTTGGCCCCGCCCCTCAGCCCCCTGGGAAGTCAGCCCCACCATTTGTACAATTTTGAATCCCCACCACCTAGGGATGCTTCCAGCCAAATATGGTTGATATCCACTTCTTAGTTCCAGAGAAGAAGTCGCTTAAAGCAATATAGCCAAATTGCCCCCTTTTGGCCCCGCCTCTCAGCCCCCTGGGGAGTCAACCCCACCATTTGTACAATTTTGAATCCCCACTACCTAGGGATGCTTCCAGTCAAATATGGTTGATATCCACTTATTAGTTCCAGAGAAGAAGTCGCTTAAAGCAATATAGACAAATTGACCCCTTTTGGCCCCGCCCCTCAGCCCCCTGGGGGTCAGCCCCACCATTTGTACAATTTTGAATCCCCACCACCTAGGGATGCTTCCAGTCAAATTTAGTTTAATTCCAACCAGTGGTTAAGAAGAAGTCGTTTAAAGAAATTGTTGACGTACGGACGGACGACGGACGCCACGGTATGGCATAAGCTCACCTTGGTCCTTCGGACCAGGTGAGCTAATAACATCACAGCAAGCTGACTGACACACTTTGCCAATCACATAAGCTCACAGAAACTTAAAACTGTGTATTGGCTAAAATAACAAAAAAAAACTTTTTGCAGTCACATTTGCTTTAAATGATTTTAATATAGTTAAATTAAATTGCACGACCAATATTTGGTTCAGAAATTTTATTACATTAAATAGGATTGAATTTCTATATTTCATGACGTGAAACATATTTTAACAAAGCATGTCTCTATGTCTCTCTCTCTCTCTTTCTCTCTCTCGCTCTCTCTCTTTTTAATAGAGTGGAATGACTAGAAAGTAGCATGCTGTTTTGTCAACAAAAACACTAGCACCTGCTTTGCATAACGGCTCATAAAATAGTAGCTGCGAGAACCGTACCTTCTTGGTCCGATCGTTATTAATTGTAATTTGAATTTTTGTATTATAACATGTAGTTGTAGTTACCTTTGTTACAAAATGATTTCTTTTTCATTTGGCAACATCGATAACATCAGTTTTTACATAGCTCAGGTGACCATGGGCCTCTTGTTGTATTATAGGACCATAGATCTATGGTCCAATAATGTAAAATTACAGATTATTAAAGATATAAAAAAAATCACAATAAAATCAAAACGATTGTACCTAGAAGCAATGGTTCTCGCAGCCAATAAAATAGCACTTGTATTAAAGTCATATAGTCCCGAGGGCTTTATTGTGTCCTATTACATGTATTATACATGTAATAGGACACAATAAAGCCCTCGGGTTATGAACTAACATGATCAAGGTATATGACACAAACAATACATACTGTTTTACATTTATTTTATATAGTCCCCACTTTTTCTCTTACCCTGGACAGATGAGTCCACCCTTTACCCAGTGTAAGATATCCTTGTCTCACCCTAGGGTTGCGACGGGGGAAATTCCCCTGTCAAAACAATTGCATGATGTCACATCAACAATACAATGACATTACATCAACAATGCATTGAGGATGTAAAGTCACCACTGAATTGTGTATAAGACGGTCAACAGGGTAAGAGAAAAAGAATCGTTCACCCCCTTGAGGTGGGATGGAGAATCTCAACCCTCTGGGAAAGATTCTTAAGTTGCTGAACACTCAACAGCCACGTGTTCAGCAACTTAAGAATCTTTTCCAGAGGGTTGAGATTCCCTTAACTCACCTGAAGGAGGTTCAAGATTCTATTAATCCCTGATATCAAGAAGTCAGTTATGTTACACCATAGTGAGATTTATAACAGGGTTTGCCTCAATGCTAAAGCATTTCTTATCTGATTACATTGTATGACATACATGTACATCAATGACACTGATAAAATACTGCATCAGACAGTTTCTTCACTTGGACATCTTTGCAGACTATATATTCATGGGTTCTACTTCTCACACAAAACCATCATGTCTTGACTCAAACTCTGTCTTGCGAGGTAAAACAGTGTCTGACGGTACTTAACTGGCAATTAACTGAAACCTTGAAGTACGCCCACCATTATATAATGTTATTCAATAAAAATGCCAACAAATACCATTTCATTGCCCTTTAATAAGCCCACCTCACAAATTCGAGTCAGATTACGTGTAGGCCCTCTGGACTTCTTGCAGGATAAAGTTGATTAGACGCTATCTGCCTTGCAAAGTCAAAATGTCTTGCATGTAGCTTGGACTAGACCTTCCTTACAGTTGCAGACACTGCCTTAATTTGACTTTCTTCAAAGGTGAACCCCACAACAATGACTGAAGGCCATCTTGTACTTCTGTTTATACACAGCAAACTCCATAGAACAATGGCAATATTACAGTTTAGACTCGGTCTGTGTGGTGCGCACCACACCCTCCTGTGCAACCGACACTGCTAGGGTGCCATCCTGTTTCCACAATCGCCCAAGGGACAGAGCCTTGCCTGCCCCACACTGGGGACTCTCAATCTCGTACAACATCCATTCATTGGCCTTAAAGGGGTTGTGGAACCACATACTGTGGTCAAGGGAAGCCATAAAGCTTGGTGAGTAGTTGCGAGGGGCGGGCTGTACTGCAGCTCCAAGGAGGGCTATGTCGGAGATAAATCCAGCAACACACTGATGTAGCTTCAGATCACTTCCTGTACACAAAAACAAAACAATCACCACATGCTCTTTACTATCTCTCAATGTAGTTTTACAGATTTATATTTTTAGTTTGGGAGTATTTTTAATGCCCCCATATACCCTGGGGATGGGGCAGGAATCCCAATTTTAAAATGGATAAAATATACCCAAAAGTGTTATTTCCCTATATAAACTATAGTAAAATTTACCCCCTCCCAAACGGAGAACGGATAGCTTGGGGGCACTGAAATTTACGATTTGAATAAAGCCCCTGATGATTTTCTTTCCATGCAGAGAAAATGAATGCAGTACCTCTGTGTCTGGAGGAGAAAATTTTGGAAATATTGGTTAATTTTCCCTTTGAGGCCATGCCCTGGCCCCTAGGGTTGGGGTAGGAATTTCAATTTTACAATTTGAAACCATCTTCCTCCAAGGATAATTCTCACCAAGTAAAAATAATTTTCTACAGAAAGTTGTCAAAATATACCCAAAAGTGTTATTTCCCTATATAAACTATAGTAAACTTTACCCCCTCCTCAAGGGAGAACGAATAACTGGGGAGTCCTGAAATTTACAATTTAAGTAAAGCCTCTGATGATCTTTCTTTCCATGCAGAGAAAATGACTGTAGTACTTCTGAGTCTGGTGAAGAAGATATTTGAAATATTGCTTAATTTTCCCTTTGGGGCACCGTCCTGGCCCCAGGGGTTGGGGTAGGAATCTCAATTTTACAATTTGAAACCATCTTCATCCAAGGATAATTCACAACAAGTTAAAATAATTTCCTACATAAAGTTGTCAAAATATACCCAAAAGTGTTATTTCCCTATATAAACTATAGTAAGCTTTACCCCCTCTCCAAGGGAGAATGAATAGCTCGGGGTACTGAAATTTACAATTTAAGTAAAGACCCTGATGACCCAGGGGTTGGGGTAGGAATCCCAATTTTACAATTTTGTAGCCTCATCTACCAAGGATGATTCTGACCAGGTTTGAAAAAAATCCATCTACTAGCTGGTTCTTGAGAAGTTGAAAATGTAAAAAGTTTACACACGACGGACAGAAAGCGAATAGAATAGGTCACTTGAGCAAAGCTTAGGTGACCTAAAAATATACCACCAGTAAGTCCGACTCGGACGTAGGTTATGAAATCACCTATTTTACCTCTGGCTCTGAACCTGAGTTTGGACCAGGGGCTTGCTTACTTTTGCTTGTAGTTCTGACCTAGATGTATGACACCTATAGTCCCTACCCAGACACAGAACCTGGGACTTACCTATTTCACCTATAGCTCTGACCCAGACAAAGCGCTTTGGCTCCCCCTGTTCCGTATGATGGTATACCTCTGGGTTAACAGGACGTTTCTCCACATGGATCTTCTCCTCCAGAATTTTGAGGATCAGAGTTCTACGATTGTCAGACAAGTCCTCACTAAAATTAAACACAATAACTACAGAACCTGATCAGATACTGTATATTGGGAAATTTCGCTTCTCATATTTAATAACTATGTTTATTATGCTGTTTACTTATATTCGCTGTAATGACAAATTTGCTCTCATCACGAAGGGTGAAAAAGGGGAAATTTAAACTGTGACGAAAAATTTCCAGTACATATGATCACAATTACATTAACAATTTCTAAGTACAATAATAATTTGCTGATATGGAACAACTGAAATTTGTATAATATATTCTTCCCATCAGGCCTTAAAACTATTTTTGAAATAATATCACATCCCAGCTCTGTTGGTGTTCAGAACACTCCAAAATTCTTACTTGAGCTGTGTTCTTAAGAAGTCTTCGGAATCCTTGAGTTCATCAGGGCCAGGAACAGATGGCATGGTAAATTGGTGCTGGAGCTGGTCCACTTCCTCAGTCTTGTAAGAGGCCTGCATTGTGAAGATTGGAATACCGTCCTGTGTGGCCTTGATATTACGTGCAGAATATGTCTTACCATCTCGGGTGCGGTCCACATGATACAAAATCGGACGATTGGGGTTACCTACACAAAAAAGTAAAATGCTAACATCCCCAAAAATGGTGACATCTCTTGAAATATCCCTAACAATGGTCGCATAAGTTAAGATATAACTAACAGTGGTCTTGCATGTCTCTTGTAATAAGTTAGGGAAACTAAAGAGTTGTCAATGTACATGTTAGAAGTGTCACTTATATAAAAGCATTACAGTATAACCTGTCCAAACCAATCCTTCTCTAATTCAGAATCATGTATTTATTGGCCTTGATGTCTGGTCTTTACAAGTTCTCTTGCATTCCTACATAACCTGTTATGACTGATCGGCATTTAAAATCTGCACATTAGCAAAGATGATATCCTGATAACTGTCAAGTCTTCATATAATTATTAAAACCTGAAAGAATACAACCTTAACTATGCAAGGTTTTCTGAACATCTCGTAAATATTATTATAATACCTCTACTTTATTTACTCTATATAAAAGTAATTGGTTAAATCGAATATATTCCCACTTTTGCCTGCCTCGGGAAATAGACCTGGTCTCTGGATACCAGAAACTTGCTATATCCCTCAATCCCATACTTTAACTGTATATTACCAGGCTTGGAGAACATCTGAGTTAACGTCCTTACCTCCTTTGAGAAAGTAGCAATGTAAGCTGTGGGCATGGTAGTCTTCATCCACAGTTTTGGATGCTGCAACCAAAGCTTGACCAACCACCTGTCCTCCGTACACAAATCGACCAGCTATTGGTTTCCACAGGTTCACCGGGGAAGCTCTATAATATACCAAACACAAATACATAATACAGGTGTGAAATTAACAATCATTTCTATGTTTGCCATGGTTCAGTGAGGAAAGCTCTGTAACGTATACAACTATATTGCTGGTTCTATGATGTACGTTGCAGCTTTGAACATTTCTTACACACACATCATGCATGCAGTTATGTGCAATGTATTGGCAGTGTTTAAAGCAACACATTGATTATTTGGTGGAATTTTCCAAAACAAATTGTCAAAAATACCCCTGGCAATATTTAAAAGCAACTGGCAATCAGGAAATGACAATAACTACGGCTGTCAGTGTTGGTTTTCCATAGTATCATGGCTCTTAGTAAAAAATTACTGACTAATTCAAAACTTTTTTGATGAGCAGATACAGTCTATATCCATAGGGAAAAATATTTTTTAAATGAAACTGTTATCAATATTTCATATTACATTTCTCTAGACCTCATGACATGCTGTTGTGTGAAGGTTACTAGACATTGGTTCTTTACCCATGCATGATGTTACATGAAATAAAATAAATCATCAATATCGATTATTTAAGGATTAACTTGAATATATTTTTCATTTTAAGGAGATATAACACAAAAAAACGGAGAGTACTCTAAATAAACCGCGAAGCTGTTTATGATCACAGTACACTCCGTTTTTTTGTGTTATAGTTCCAATAATGAAAAATATATTCAAGTTAATCCTTATAATTTAATCTACTATACACAATCCTTGTGGAAATCCACTTTTATTGATGGACTCTTTTCTCTTAGAAATTATTGCGCTGCTGTATCAGCCAATCAAAAGCGACGTTACAAACGGTGACATCATTTTTTATGTTATGGGCTGATAACATAATTTTTTAAGCCAATGAAAATGCTTGTTACAAGCAAGATTAAATTATATAATTATGTAACTTTTTTGTGAATTGAATTGATTTAATTATTTGGATCTAAGGAACCCCATTAGAATTTACCCACAATGTGGCTTTATGGGTCATCCCAGGTAAAGGCCTAAATTAATCGAATCCAATCCAGTTTTTAACACTGACTGACTAGGCCTACCAAGTTCAATGGCATAAACAAATTATAAATATTATCTGTGATATACGTGTAATGTCTTCCTTTACCTGAATAAATATTAGTACAATTATTACCAGGGTTCGCTGCTTACCGGAATATGTTAATATCTATCTTCTCCAGAGTCAGAAACGAACGTATAAGCTCATTAGCCAGATTCTCTCCCGATTCGACGGCCATCGTACTAGGTATATATAGACTGTTGTCGTCCTTATACAAGATACAAAAACTCGTTTTCGTTATCGCGTCGAATTCATATAAGTCTTTGATTACCAGCAATGACAGAAAAAATTAACGATGATTGTTGATTGATTGATAGGTTTTACGTCCGCTTCACTACCGAGTAGTTCGGTTATCCGGCAGACGAAACGATGATTGTTTTTATCCATCGTCCTATATATTGACTCGTCCTGAATAGTGACTCCACGGACTTTGATAACTTAGGGCTTCATTCGCGTATCCCAGTTGAAACCGTACGTGTGGTGCAGACATTTTCCACGATAAACGAACACACTTGGACCGTTCTATAAGCAGAGCTAAAAATCCACACTTTCGGAGAATAAAAAACAATGTATCAAGAATAGTATGCCCTTCTTTCCTGCGTCCACTGTATTACATAACGTATCTTAAAAACTACATGAGCCTTGACATTGTTTTAGAACGAAATAACGCAAATTGGCAATAGTCAGCATTTTAGTTTCGGTCAGGTACGTCTGGACCCCTCAATCTACACGTACCAAAGCCTGAGGTCAGCTTCGGTCCTATCTGTACCTGTTGTTTTCTTTACAGGTTCAACCGGTTCAACCGTTTCAACCGGATACGCGAATGTAGCCTTAGATAACTAATTTAAAAAAATGTAATTCCGTGGTGACCCTAACCGGCCCACCCTGGTAGGCTTTCTTACGGAGTTGCATTTTGATAAACGATAAAAGTATTACATACATTATATATATACTAGTCAGAATATGTTGTTTTTTTTTTTTTTTTTTTTTTTTTTTTTTTTTTTATTAAAGATGATGTTTACTTACACCACGGACTTAGATAATCTAATTCCGTGCTTACACCAGAGACGTATATGGCTTTAAATGTCTCAGCTTACACCCTTACGTAATGGTACGTTCGGAACCCTCTTCGCTTTACCTACTGAGCTGTGTACAAGCAGAGGTATTTTGGCGCGCGTATTTGACACGTGCATTCAAATAAAATCAAAAGTTTTATTTAACGTCGGTATGGTTAAAAACAATAAACATTAGCTCTAATGAGCTATTAAACCGACACATAAAAGACATGCACAGTTACACAATAAATATTTAGCAAAACATATTAAAAGGTGAGCACTATCTAATAGAGGTGACATAAGTAGAGGTAAGCTCTAGCTAAAAACATGTTGTATAAAACTGTATTGCAGTAGNCATGTATTTTCACCATTTTCCTCAATTTTTCCCCACATGGAAACCCCCCCAGGAAATTTGGAAACCCCCCCAGATAGGTCTCTGGATCCGCCACTGTATTGTGTGCCTATGTGTTTTGTCTGCATGTGTTGCATTTGCATTTTGGCCCATACCAGCTGTTTATTAGTGTCTTAAATTGTGTTAGTGTAGTTCAGAGGCATATGGCTTTATATGTCTCTGTGTAGTTGTTGTTCTGAAGTGGTCTGGTAGGGCATTCCATATTTTAGGTGTCATTTTTACCGAAAGTCGATCTTAACCCCCTATAACATATAAAGTTACTCTGAACACCTTAGTTTAGATACAAATGTAGCTGTAACAAATTATCCCTGTGGGTTCTACATTGTCTTAATAGTGCATGTGCATGTTTCATTTTTAGATTGATTGTAAAAACAAGATGGCCTACAGACAGACATCTTGAATTCTAACAGTTAAGTTTGTTATTTGTATTTTTTCCAGAAGTGCTAGTTAGATGTTTCTCAAAGTTCATGTAAATTTGTTTGAGTTATTTCTTCCCTATCATATATGGCTGCGGTTCTGCATAGTTTGTTTTGAGCTGCAGAAGAAAATATGGCTGCCAGAAAACAGAAATATGTCATGTTAATTATAGGTCAAATGACTAACTTACTTTGAAGGGACATTGTCAAACCCAGCTGTTTGAAGATTTAATCAAAACTGAACACAATATGCATTAACTGCTGACAATGTTGCTTTCTGGCGAGCATTTGCAAATTTATGTCGAGGCAGACCTTAATTGCAGGTCCCTATAATTATGCCAGCTTTATCCCAGAGCAAGACTGACTTGAAGTACATGTCTTCATTAGTATGGAAGGCAGGTATGCAATGCCAAGTGAAATCAAGTGTTGTAAGCTCTATTGAAACTGTCTGATAAATCTTACTTACTCAAGTTATTATTATCATGACAATATTCTTGAACATAATTTGGCACTCAATTGGAAAAGACTTGGACTTTGTGACATTTTTATGCTCCTGTTATATTATTGGATTTGTAGAAATAAATTATCATGACAATATTCTTGAACATAATTTGGCACTCGATTGGAAAAGACTTGGACTTTGTGACATTTTTATGCTCCTGTTATATTATTGGATTTGTACAAATAAATTATCATGACAATATATTCTTGAACATAATTTGGCACTCGATTGGAAAAGACTTGGACTTTGTGACATTTTTATGTTCCTGTTATACTATTGGATTTGTACAAATAAATAACATTGATTCCCTTTCGATGTCGAGAAGGGGTCCAATGTGTTAAAAAATGTCAAACTATGTCTTCACAAGAACCCTAATCATTCTAGAGCCACGATGTTGCTGAGTTGAAGAGTTATCATGTGCGCAAAGAATGACAAGTAATGGCCGACAGTCAAGGTTGCGGAGATAAAATGCATTTAAAGTTTCTCAAATTTTTTTTTTCAAAGAACAATCATGTCTATAATATTTAAACATCACAATATTTGGACTGTAGGTTATAAATATAAGAGTCCCATCAAGTTTGACCTAGAGGATAAAACAAGATGTGTTATATTGACATCAAATAATATTTGACCTTCAGAGTATCTGGACAAAGGAGAGGTATTCAACACACCATCTTTTCATTATTCACCAAATACATTGTTCCATCAAAGAATGTTCTACTGTGTTTAACTCATTTACCCCTGAAGACACATTTGAACTCTTCCAGTGCAAAGGTTGGAATAGTACATTATGAAATTTCAGGGGTGAATGATTTAATAGTTATGGTCCTCACAAGGTAATGACAAAAGTGAACTAAATGATTGCTATATAACCCTTTATTTCACAGGGGGTATAACAAAGAACAATTTCTGAAGGTCAGGCTGTTCATGTTTGAAAATAAGGCATAATAAGAAGTCGACTGATCTTTTCAAGGAATGTTTATTATCTTAAAACCTGTGTTCACTTCAGACAAGATAGATTAAATATTGGCTACAAGGATTTCTTACAAACATAATATATTCAGTGCTTCATTCTCTAGCAATTTGTACACATACAATACCCTGACACAAACATTCTAGCACTTTTCACATCTTAAAATGTCAATCACTAACAAAATTGTCAGATTTTATTTTAAATAATTTCCTGTGGATTCACATTTGATCAATTCTTAACTATAGCTATATCATTTAAAACTTTATTTATTTATGAAAGGTGATAGTTTTACTTTTGCACAATGTCAACTGAAATCATGAAAATGTTCGTTCAAGTTTTATTAGCCTAAATCAACTTTTGCCTATGCATGTATTTTGTTTCTTTTTCAAGAATTATAAACATGTTCAAGTTCTTTTCCAGTAACATTCTTAATATACAAATGGTATCAATTTCATATGTGTTCAACATGAGGCAATACATTTAAGAAGTTAAGACAAGTCTTTGTGAACCTTGTTTTTTTCACAACCATAAGGTCAATGCTTATATATCATGGTTTATGTGAATCCTAGCATACTCATTCAACTCAGAAAGTCTTGTCAGTGTATAACAGGTCTTCCTTATAGATAGTAAGGGTACTCCATTGATGCACAGACAGATTGTAGGAATTTGTGCAAGTTTCAGATGAAACCAAGATGGATTCCAACGAGAATTGTTTTTAATGGAAAGTGACAGACCATTGGGTTTGTTCTTCCTGTCCCCTACATTTAGTCTACCAAATTATTCCAAACATTTGAAATGAATTTAAATATTTTGTGACCTTTAATACAATATGAAAGCAAGGATACATTTTTATAAATGATCTTTTAATACTCATCATATCATATCATTGTGTCAGTATATGCTGAGTATTGTCCATACTTGCTCTTTGGATAATGAGCTCCCACACATAAATTCAAATTCCAAATAGTACTAATAAATTACATGACATATAAAACTGTCTGACAATGCTTTCTTTATAGTCTCCTTCCTGAATTTTGTTGTATGGAGATTTATCACAAAGCTAACTCTAGAGAAACAAGATAGTTGCTCAAGGAACCCCATACCACTGCTGAAAACTGTGCCACCATGTGAATGAACTGTGTAACTATGGATTGGGAACGTTTAACGTGCATGAACATACAAACAAACCTGTTCATGTGACTAGGATACAATTTTTAAGAGACCACATGTGTTAAGGGAAACAAATTTACATGTTCCCTATTGTAGTAATTTAATTGTGAATTGTACTTTTATACAGAAACCTGTGTTCAAAGACCATGGTTTGGACTTCCCCAGAGTGGTCTCTTAATTAATACAGGTTTAATTGTAGCATGAATAAGATCATTTTTGTTATCTTTTGGAGCTGTTTTTTGAAAAAATCATAAAGATGATATTAACGTAAAACAAACAACAGTGTTCAGAGACCCTGGACCTCTGGTTAGAGTACAGTTACTCTCCCCAACTCATCTACTTGATCAATAATAGTTCCCTGGCCAAGTGCCACTTCAATTATATCTAGAACAAATTCAAGGGGAGGTAACTGTATGTATGAAAAGTGTTTTGTCTGCAGTGGGACAGGGATCCTCAACACTAATCGGAATCTAATTACAATGCAAAACCACTTGTATAAGGGTTAACATGTAAGTCTGGACATACAATTCTGCATCACTCACTTGAGAGTCGACATATAAACACATTAACACACACGTCCGTACAATCATTCGAGTTAACAGAAATATTTACATCCACTCGCTCATTTATAACATAAGTAACTCAACAAAAACCAAATGCTCCAATATCAATCATGTAACAGTCAACAAAACAGGTATAGTTAATGTAGTAGAACCATAACAAAATGTAAACAAAACATGTCATGCTTTCATTCTTCTCCGGGCTTTTATCAATTATATATAATCAATAATTAATATTTCATCGAGACATTCAAATGCTGTTGCTACAAAACATTAACAATAGACTTTTTTCTTTCGCGATCATTACTAAGAAAGTTGATTTGTCCACAATAGTGAGACTGTTGATAAATAACATTCCAACCTGTTGTATACTAACAGAGCCAGGTCACAAACAATCCAGCTAAATATCTCCCCTGTTCTTCATAGAAAGTTGGAGACCTCAAAGGGCCATCTACAAAGATCCTTCATTTATTTGAAATGTTCTTTGATATCTCAATTAGCAAAAGATTGTACAGTTAAAAAGTTAACTGATATCTTTCCCAAATATCTCACAACTTATAATCAATTCAATTATGAATGTGCAGCAACTAATATTGCTAACATGATAATCAGAAATTCAATATCACTTTCAAAACAAATTATAATTGACAGCAGTAGATTGTGTATTATATTAGGACAACACTAAAACGACATATACACTGAATAAATAATGTTGTAAATACACATGAAATAGATTGGCTGATTGATCACGATATGCAAACAGGTCTTTCGAGGTGCAGAGTTTATTTAGCACTTTAGCACTAAGACGGCCAAACATTTTTCCCGCTCAAAAATGAAAAGTATCGGGCCAGAGTTGTACCTTACCCAGGGTACAACAGTTGTTCCTTACCCAGGGTACAACAGTTGTTCCATACCGAGGATGCAACAAGTGTTCTGTTATCCAGTATACGACAGTTCTATCCTACCCAGGAAACTAAAGTTATCCCTCTAAGTCAACAGTTAAATTTTTTCCAAAACAATAGCAGTTCTTGTACAGTGTTGAAATATCAAAGTTATATAATTACACAGACCATTTCAATCAACTCGTAATCACTTCACATTACTACATGTATAAAGGTAATCAAAACATTGTTTTAAGTGAGAAATCACTATAATTTTGATGCTAGAGAAGCCATTCATTTCTTAACTCTGAAAGACTCATACAAATACAATGTTTAAATATGGTTTATTGCACATACCTAAGTCTGATTCCAGAACTGGGTGACCTCCCACCGGGCTAATCTGCCCACAGACAACTTTAAAAGAAGTTTCATAAACTAGGTTAGAAGTTATTGTTTGTATTATCAAGATCTCTCTCTCGTTCAATAGCCATCTATATATATATATATATATATGGGGCAAAGAAGTAATTCCAACAGTGTGGACAAGTTTTGGTTGTCAAACTGTTGGAATTACTTCTTTGCCCCATATAATATTTTAAGTAATTCGTATCCTACGGACATACCTCCATTATGATCCAGTGTTATATGGGATTTTACCGTCTATATTACTTCTTTGACCCATATATATATATAAATATATACTGGGTATATATTCCAGTAACTATGAGAATAGCTACATGTATATCCTGATAAACTCTATCAATATCGCTTGGGCTAGTTCCATCGTGGAACAAATTTTAGGTGATTCTGAACATATTAAAGGTATGTAATAAAGACCTAACAGATGATAACTGAAACATGAAATATAAAGAAGTACTCATACTGAACTATCAAATGAGATCGATGATTTGCATAGAAAATAAATCTTTAGTTATTTCATTTCACTATTAAATGTATTTAAAATTTTAAACACCATATCAATCAATCATATCAGATTTTAAATATTTATTAAACTGATATTAAATATTAAACAAGTAGTTTTTAAAGAATCCTGAAAGCAAAGAAGTAAATTTGATTCACAATCAGATATACTAACACAAAATGCCATTTCAGAGTGCATCACATCGCGTTTGTATCAACGGTGTCAGTAGACTAGTTGTAGCCTAACCTGGCACAGATGTCTACTGGGTGTCAGAAATACCATTCTGACTTCACTGTCCTGAGTGTAAAACTACAACCCTGCAATGTGGAATGATTCAAGTCACTCCGTCTGTGGTCTTCTCCCACGGTTGTCTCCCTTAGGATAATCTTCCTTTGAGAACCCTTGGCTGTTATACTGATGGGGCTATTTCCCCTCAACACAATCCTCCATTCTCCAGGTCTTCTTCCTCAAGCTGTGCCCTGGAGGCCTGGCTAGGAGCCACAGGCTGTCCCGCTGTCTCCTGGTTTCTGGGAATTCGCCGGCCCATACCAGCTGGTATCTCCATATCTCTGGCAAGTTTTGCAAACTGAAACAATGTAACACATTCAACATCAATACACTTTGATGAAAAAACCTGTCCCTTTTATTGCTGTGAAGACACCTACTGATGTAGAGATATCGCTTTAATTACTGTGTATGAGTTAATTAAGTCCTGGTTCACCGAGAGATTATCGAACAGCTGGGAGAAAGCTGCAGTACTCTTCCTCATAGCCTATTACTATTGTGAATATTTGACTTACAGCATTGTCCATGAACTTAATAGTGGGGGAGGCGAGAGCAGCACGGCATCCTTCCTCATCTCCGTCACTGTACGTCTGGATCAACTCGTCAACTAGGGCTGCTTCCTCACTGTCGCCAAACCCAGGATACCTGTCAACAGAGTAACAATACAGCTCCCTCCTCAATCAACAAACACCCAGTGACTATCAATAGATTATATCTCATTAAGGAAGACTGCCTCTCTGAAAATATCAAGCATTTCCCTGCTGGACCCTGCTTGTCTGCCCTAGCGGGGACACACCTTTTACTTATTTAACATTCTGTCCCTTTCCCCTGGGACCCTATATCTTGTATTAGCTTTCAAGATTTTCTAGATTCAGACGGGCACCACATTGTACTTACTGAATCCTGTTTGGCTCAGAGATGTTCAATACCAGAAGAAACGCAAATCACTTAAGCTGTCCTGAACTAGCAGTCTTTTAAAGAAAATTTAGTGATGGACAGATGACCTATGCCCAGATATGGAATAAACTCATTGGCACTTGAAAATTATTCATTTGTCGGGAGCAGACTTTAAACTTATACGTTACCCGAGGGCAGAGTTGTAGAACTGTTCTGCTCCAACTGGGTCGGCTTGCTTCAAATAAACCAATATAGCACCAATGAGGACCCGACTGATTGCAGGGAAGTTTTCAACTGAGGCAAGGTAGTCTATTTCTTTCTTCAGCCCAACTAGTGCCTCATCATATCTGGAAAGGAAAAAGTAACAGGTCAAACATTTATTTGTTTTCCTATTCACTACTTTACAATTTAAGTCCTATTTTAGTAAGTGCAGGTATTGTTTTTATATTCTTTTCAGCTTACTGAAATGTTAATTATACAGTCAAGACAGCCATCACTAATCCATTTGTCCAATCCAGTCAGTGTTTTAGGGGGATTAATAGAACCTAGCTATCACCTCTGTGTGATGCAGACAGAGCAATCTTAACCCAAGGGTAAGATTTTTTTAGTTTAGCATGAGGGTTCAAAAATCTTATACAAAGGGACGAGATTTCTGTCTAAATCACAAAGAAGTGATTGATTACTTTCCTCCCATAAAGATAAATTGTACTGGTGACCCAATGCACTATGCCACCAAGAAGGATGCATCAAATGTGCAAAATTGATGATGTTATCCTGATTACACTGCGTAGTTGATAACAGTGGATTCATTGAAGCTAGATTTGCTCTGATTTACTTACTTTTGCAGATGAATCAATATCCTAGCTGACTTTCCAATAAACTCTGCACATTGTCTTGGTTTATCTTCAAGCTGCAATGAAAATGAATGCTTCCATTCTTCAATATCTGTGGGTACAGCACGATAGATCTCTACTAGGTAAGGAGCAGTCCAATGCGAATCTCTATTTCGTCTTTGTTTATTGCAGAGTTATCTTCTCTTGAGAGCAGGTATTGATTGTTACGTCATTTATTTGTGAGAGTAAGGTCATCAATTTTCAAGAAAACGACGTAATTTTCTCACACAAACCAATGACGTAACAATCAATACCTGCTCTCGAGAGAAGATAACTCTGCAATACGCAAGGCGGAATATGACTGCTGCCACAATTGTGACATCACAATGAAATGAAATTAACTCAGTTCAAATTTTTAATTTTGGCTAATTGATATTCAACTATATGAGAAAAGAATGATATCTTGTTTGTTGGCAGGTGTATGCATGGAGATTCTCCCCTGGGTGTAAAGTTTGGGTAAAGAACTATGTAGAATTTCCATAACTTTTTATATATATATAGAGTATTACACACAAATGATAATTTATCAAAATCTCGGGATAAGAGCTGTTATTAAGAATCTCCATAAAAATGAAATGATTATTTTAAAGAAACAATATCATCGTTTTGCTGTATTAGCATATGTGTATATTTCATTGTAATAGTGCTTTAACCCTTAATTAGAAATGCTTGTGTGACATATAAGTTTTCAATACTTAACCTAGTTTTAAAAATTTAAATTATTATGCTACCTTTCTGTGATTATGTATGTGCTGATTTGCTTGTGTATTTTGTTTTATTTGTTAAATTGCCTCTGTGATATTTGTTTGTCATTTGACTAGTCTTTGTAATTACCTGCTTGTGATTGTTACTATACTTAATGTTTGATGCAAGAATAGCACTACAGTGCTGATGTTTTATTGTTTTAAATATGCGGCGTTAAATAACAATTCTTGTATCTTTTGTATCTTGTACAGTAGGAAGAATAATTTGTTGGTCAAGGGTGGTCAAAAGGTGACAAGCTGCCCCCACCACCCTTTTTGGTGTGCTTGCATGCCATCAACAACTCCTTTATATGTTACCTATAATATATAGCCAAACCCTCTTCAACTCATTCACCTCTGAAATTTCACTATGAACTATTCCAACCTTTGAATTGGAAGAGTTCAAATGTTTCTTCAGGGGTGAATGAGTTAAAACATCATCATTTCACTGCACAAATGGCAGAATACCAAGGGTTTACTGTAGAATTAAATTAGTTGTTAACCTACCTCTGATACATCACAGGCTTTCTGAAACAACTGTGCTGATTTGGAGGGGTGAGAAATTTCCACTATTCTGAAAACATAGTACAGTACAATCTTTCAGTTATCAAAGCTTTAAGGTATATGCTATGTCACCTTACATGTAATTTCTTTCTAAAAAGAGTTCCTAAAAGATATGTAATTACTGTTTATGAAATATTACTGGAATATTAACTTCAACATAGTACACAAAATACAAACACTAACACTGCACAGTTATAGATGACAAGATAATACTATTACTTTTTTTGACGTCAGATATCTAACAAAGATCACATATCTTGTAAAGTATCAAATATCATTTAAGGGTGCAGAAGCATGGAAGTTGCTGTTGAAATGAGTCACAGGCAGTGTAATTGGGTAGATAAGTTAACTCTTTGCAGTTTCTATATCTATTTATCTGTCAATTCAAGACACGGATCACCAAGCTAACGCCCTAATGGTGCTGGGGTGATTACTTACTTTGCAGCCCTGTCCAGTACAAGAGCCGCTGTGTCTGGAGAACCATCCTCCTGAAACAGTTTGGCAGCATACTCCAACAAATTAATGCAGTCTTCTATCATGTTGTTCTCCTTACTGATAAGACCAGCCTGCTCATACGACCTGCAACATATGCAAGTATTCAGTCATTATTTAATGTCCAATTTTGTTAATTCCAGGTTTGACATTTTTGCATTAGCTAAGAACAAATGGGGACAGTGTCCACTTATGCTGAAGCTGACATGTCACTCTCCCATATCATGCCCTTATGCAGGTCAGACACAGAACTTGAGGTTATATCCAACACTTTTTGTATCCTGTAGACCTGCATGACCTGGAAATGCAGCATTCTGAATGTATCTAGAATTTTCTATTTAACAGTACTTCCTCTGGGAAGCATTGGTCATTTTCATTACTCAGTGTTTAACAGGAAGTTGTCCATGGCAGTAAGAAAATTGCAGAGTAAACACTTACCAGACCTACCAAGCATGTTTATTCATTATTAAATTGGTATTGATTGTTAGAATCATTCACCTCCATGAGGTGAGATAGTGTTTCTCTTACCCTGGACAAGTGTATCCACACTTTTACTGAAGTGAGTTATCCTCGTCTCAACCCTAGGGGGGATTCCCCTATTCATAACAAATGATGTCATGTCAACAATATATTAACGTCACGTCAACCTTGAATTTTAACATTTCATTATGTGTATGATACACATTGGGCGAACAGGGTAAGAGAAAAAGAATCATTCATCCCCTTGAGGTGATTGGGAACAGGGTAAGAGAAAAAGAATCATTCACCCCCTTGAGGTGATCGGGAATCTCAACCCTTGGGGAAAGATTCTTAAGTTGCCAAACACTCAGCAAAGCACTTAAGAATCTTCCCCTTGGGTTGAGATTCCCCTATCTCACCCCAAAGGACAGATTCTATTAATCCCAACCCAAGAGGATTATTTAGTTGCCAAACACAAACACAAGGCTTGTGTTTGGCAACTTGAGCATCTTTCTCTGAAGGTTGAGATCCCTTCATCTCATCTTAAATGAAGTGAATGACTCTATTCTAATACCCTGTCGACCTTGACCTTGTTATATAAATGCAGACATTACATGTGCATTGTCTGTGTGATGTTAATGCATAGTTGATGTTACGATTTGGGAATCCCCTCATCTCAACTCTTGGTTTACAAGGCTATCTATCTCACAACAGGAAAATTATATTTTAATGAAAATTTAATAGTTATACTTCCTTCTGATAATTTAATCAAAACTGGAGTACCATGTAGGTGCAGTACATGTATGCCCCTCTAAAGCTTTCTTGAAACATGAAAAAATAGTGAAATAAAAGATAAAAATTTCACATCTGTACTTACTTTGCCGCATGGAATGGTCTGAAGGAATGTTAAAGAAGATAAGTAACTGTGACAACACATGACCAACATACAAAAGTAAATATTGTATTCATTGGGTTATTTTCACTCTCTTGTGGAAAATAAGGACTTATGTAGACCTATACAAATGTAGCTTTGGAATTATATGTAAAGTTTACCTCGACATGAAGACATATAAGCCTGGTTTTGACAGTGTGTATGGACCACAGGCCTCGCTCTGGTACTACGTACAGACTAGACATTACCCAATGACCACAGGCTTGCATTTGCCTTTCAAGTTTTTAAGGCCAATATGTCTAGCCATGACACAAGCAAGACCATATATATATTGACATCTTGTAAGGAGCAACTAGGTCTAACTTATTAAACCATAGAATTGGATTGGACTGCATACGTTGGTGTATAAGGATTCTAGGCCTCACATTGACAATATGTAAGAACCAGTATAGGTGTAGTTTTGTTGCAATAAGGACCATAGGTCTAGTCTAGATATATTGATATCATGGAGGGACCAAAGGTGAAAAAAGAACCTGGGGAGACTACAACACTGACAAGTTGGCAATACAAGAGCCCACCGTATCCTTATGGTAATTTTTAGTGACCTTAACCTTAGAACCTTTTTTAAGCCCCCTCACCATGTATAATTTCCAAAACATTCGTTTTTTAGGAATCTGAGATAAGAGCTGCACTCCCTATGGTCTAGAATCTATTTATCACTGTGGATCAATCATCATGTCAAATTTCAGTTAGTCTTTTTGATTCTGAGATATTCTCCAGAAATGAAAATGTGGAAGGACAGACAGAAATTTAAGATAGAAACAGTGATGACTATAAGGCACCCTCATCTCTGATGCGGGGCCCGAATAAAATCTTGAAAGTAAACGATGGTGGATTGGTGTAAAGGATACGCATTCATTTGCAGCTGCACTTCTGCAGCTTTGATACAAGCTTCTTTTGCCTCCTTTAAACACTTTGCATTTCTGTAGCATGTTGCTGGAAAAGAACAAGTATAACACAAGGATTAAAGTCGATGTTGAATTTAACTTTTCAGTTATGTCAATTTATTTAAAAAGTATCCATGTACTGGTATAAAAGATATGGATTTGTGAATACTGAAAACCACTTATATTTCAAGCTTACCAGTATATATTTGTGGTCATTGGCATGGAAAGCTGAAATTCAAAATCCGAATTGAAGTACACGAATATACAAGTATCTCAATCACCTGATCTAGCTAGCATATACAAATGTATTATAGAAATGTGGTAATTTCTGTTGTTGTTCATTTCATGAATTAAAATCCTTTATACAGCAATTCAATCCATATTTATTGTCTTTCTTATTCTCCATAATAGGGTCCCACAAAGGGAGATAATGGCAAACCAGATTTATACAGAATGTAGCTATAGGCATAGCAGAGTTGTTTCCCTTCCACAATCCATCCTATACTGTATGCATATTAAGTCATGGGAGTGTATTGCTAAGCGGAAATAGGAAGTACATCCCTAGTTGAAAACCCAATGTAGGGAGACAGTATCACAATTTTCGCATATTCTAATGTTTAATATTAAAGTGATGAATATTGTATGTTGTTTATTGACAGAACAGTGTGTTCTTTCAATATTAAAGTATTTCAAAGCAATCCAGACATTAATTCAGTTGTTTTTTAATCAATGAGTCACAAGTGTCCATTTTTCTGTACTTCAGGAAACCAGCTACCTATTTCACTACTGTGAAGTTTTTCAAGAACGATAACTCTTACATGCAAATGGTTTTATTATAAAATGTCAATTTTTATTCTTTTATAGATAATTAATTTTACACAATTTCAGCATTTATGAAATTGATATACATTAATGCGATACTAATCTATGTCACTTTCAATTTTTATTGACATTATTTCACTCTTTTTTACATAAATTTCCATTTAAAATCCTTAAAATTCTGACAACATATTTTTTTTTTTTGGCAGAATTTTTTTTTTTCTTCAAAGTAATATAACTACAAAATTTGAAGAAATTCTACTGAGAAATGGCGACACAATCCTATTACTTAACACTTCTTGATCGTTATCATCAAAAGAAATATGACACATTTAAGATATATATATATATATACAAGTATCTTTTGAGTACTAAAAGGTAAAATAAAAGGTAATGATCACATTAATTTAATGTTAGATTTTTCAACTAAACTACAAAAACATAAGGTACCTGCTTTGTTGTATTCAGATGCAGCACCATCCAAGTCTGGCCTCCACTTAAAGAAAGATGTTTTCATGCTGAAAGAAAAATTAATACTATCAGTGTTGTGATCTTAAGCTTCAAAATGGCTATGATAATTACTGAATCACACACAAAATTTCCCAGGCAAAAATGAGGTACTTAATTAGGATATTGTTAACTTGCATTGTCAGGTTACCTATTATGTACCTAACAATCACTCACTCACTTATTTGCGGCTAGTACCTTAAATATACCTTTTGACCAAGGTACTACTATTAAGGTATACCTAAAAAGTACCCCATTTGGAATTTTCCCCCTGGGTTACCATTAAAAAAAGATAAGATGTATTTTAAAGTGCTGATTTCAAAATTAAACTTAAAAAACTGTGGGTCAAATGCTTTTTATTTACTAATATTGCCTCTTCCCTCGGAAATGGTAAAAATAAAAAATACACCAATGCAGTCTACGTAGCACACAACTGTATTAGTGATGACAAAGGGTCAAAATTTCATAAAAGTCTCATTATCAGCAGGTATATGCATTTTAAAATAATTATAGTACTATTTTTACCATATCCAATGGCTGCTTACCACATGTATCATGGCTTGTATTGTGTGAATCTTGTTAACTTGAATGAATATATACAGCTCGATTATCACTAGTCATTAATGTCATTGTAGAAACTTGTCATTGGAACATTTTAAATGATGTTTAAATTCATTTGATATCGATCTGCATCTAGTCAGAATTTTTCCTATACAATATAAATTGATGTTCCAAATATCGAATGTGAAAACTGGGAAACACATCTTTTTGAAATAATTTCTGTGCTGGTGGGATTGGGATTCTGATGCCATGGAAAACCCTTTGAATCTGCTACTGTGAAGGCAATAAATGCTACTCTAAAATCACATTCTATTCCTGATCATGCAGTCCATTTAAATGATCTGGATATATGGGAAACACACATATATCTGACTACTTGTGGTTATGTGTTGAACTTGGAACTAAATAATTGTGAAGTATACATGTATGTAGTGTTATCTTACACAGCCTTACAGATAGATTTTGTTCTCAAAAGAATGTCATTACATTTAATATAAAAAGAAAGAGGTAGGGGCAAACCTGACATTTAGTCGACTTTAACGTTTTCCAATGTTATATATATTCTATAAGCAGACTGTTATCTGTTAAAATAGAACTTGTGACTTACACGTACACCACTCTACACAAATGTGTCTGAATAATGAGGCATTTTAACCTCCGACTTGTGAGGATGAGTTATGAACAGGACATCCCCCTCAGTCAGAGCAAGTCTATATTTTGATGTGACATTTGTGCAAACATTGGATCATTTTCGCCTATATTTTCCAAGAGATTGGAATTGTCCCTGCTGTATACCATTTCTCTGCCTGACGAATGTGGTCCTCAGCCTCGGCTGCTTTACGCTGCTTCATGTCACTCGCCATCTCTAGCTGTCAGTCTGCAAAAACATCAACATGACCAATTAATTTAGATCTATATCCTATTTCAGAAATGTACAGTCATGTGATAGACGCAAGAGTCAGGACACATACAAATATGTATAGCTACTTTAGAATAAATAAATATAAAGACAGTTTCAAATATTATGTATTGAATTTAAATTTAGCCTTATTGTGAAATCATGAAACGCAAAAACTACATTACAATACTTACTGAAAACAGACTCTAACCGAACTCTCCTATTCTTGAAACCACAAAAAGCGAAACACGAAAATGGCCTCCAACTTGGAAGAAACACTCGGGAAACTTCTTGTTCCAGACAATAACACAATTCAGCTGGTGATTATAAGACGACTTGCCTCTTATCTAATTCTAACTTAATATTTGTATATGTCTTGATCGGTGTAAACTTGTCATGTTTTATTTTAAATGTTATGACGCATCGTCCCCACGTGTCGATGGTATGCCGATCATGATAAAAACGCGGGAAATTATGGTTCTAAATTAAAAAGTTTAATAGTTTTGTCGACATCTAATTTACTCTGAGTGGATATACTTGTATTAGAGTATGACTGTGTATATGGATATCTTCATGATTTAATATATATATATATATTTGATTCCATGCTAGGGACATTTGTCAGCTGATACGACTAGAAATTTTAGAGCAAAAGTGGAAATAAATGTGGGGGATGGTTTGATATCTCTCATTGTCAGACTTAAGATTATGGAAGTCAATTGTAATTATACACTTTCCTTTTTTAATTTGGATAAAAGGGAATTTCATCTAGTGTAAAGCTAGAAAGTGACTGACTATATGTATGATATTATGAAAAGTTCTTTTTTACACAACCAATAAAAATTTCTATGTGACGTTTCGATGACTAGTACGATATGTACACTGTCACATTCATCAGACTAATGACCAGTGAAGCTTATTCACTCAAAGGTGTAAAATGTGTACAAGTTGCATGTCCACAAAATTGATGTCAATTTCGGCTACGCTGTCAGCATATGTACAATAGTTGTTATATATGTACCGAAATGACTTGATTCAGCTACTCTTTGTTTAATACTTGGTCATAGATATGTGAAAATCTTTGAGCCTCTCGTCTCGATTTAGAACTGGCCCACAGCGGCGTATCCAGATGGCTTCCTTTATCTGCCGCTTGAACAGATTGCTCTCTCTGTCCAATACTTTGGAGTTTATAATCCCAGTCAATCACATGGTTTTTCTGTGTGGCATGGTCTGTGATTGCCGATTTATTTATCTGGGACTCAGACTGCTTCCTATCTGATCTGGTGAATTTCCTACCTTCTTGGGTTTCTGTATCTTTCCGGTGTTCACCAAGGCAGATCCCGAAAAGCCTTCTAGTCTCAAATATATGATGCGTCGCAGTTTTGCATCCAATTTTGTTAACGCATTCTGCGACATTTTCTTTAGATGTTTTTTAAAATACCAGAGTCTGTAAAAATGGTAGTTTCTAATAAACTAGTTTGTTGTCAGCACTTTATAACTCTCCGATACCAAACGTTGTCGGAGAATTCCACGTTTTCATATAGCAGTGCGCTCTGGCCCCACACCAGACATCTATCTGTCAAAATGTCTGGTGTAAGGGCCAAAGGAAACTCGTGCTATATGTATGATAACAGCTAGGATCCTCCAAATGTCAGAATATATAAAAGGATTATGAAATATGTTATATTAGAGAAAATACCTTCTATTGATGTATGTTTACTCCTATATAAATGACCATAGCTGTTGATAGCACGTTCAACAATACCAAACCAAACCAAACCTCAATCTCCAATCCCCTAAATTTTAACCCCCCCCCCCCCCCCAAATGTACCCTCAGAGGGTGAGAAGACGTGTAAAGTAAAGGATCTTGAAAATTCATTAAATATACCCCAAAATTTAAAATTTAAAACTTATGGGAAGATTGCTACATCCATTCTTGTTTAAGGGTATAGCTCGTTCCTCCCATCCAAAGTTATAATTGATTCTATTGAAATTAAACACTGTTGTTAAAAATATAAATTGCACGGTACAACTATGACACAGATCAACAAGAGACAATAACTTTATTACATTTAAACTTAAACATTATTTCAATTGTATTATAAAGGTCTCAAATTCAAATGTGGGATCGACCTACACTTCAGGAAAAGATTATCAGGTTAAAATAATCTATTGTTACAGGTGAACGTGTAAACCACTGGTGTTTTTTCTGAAGTTTGTATCAACAACAGTTTGTAAATGTTAAACTTATAGAAGGTACCTACAAGTATTTATGTTTTAAATCAGATTATAAGCGAAAGCCTGACTACTTCCAAATTTTCTTGAAGTCCACAATAAACGTGTTTTATTATGTTATGAAATGTTTCGAAATATGAATTTATGAAACTAACTATCATTTTACTGTTTAGGCAACACAGCAGCTGAAAGAATTGTTTAAGGACCCCAACATTGTCCCTGGTCTCTGTCAGGTCCTAGGATCTTCACAAGTGCCTCAGGTAAATCCTTCTTATTCATTTGAGCTAATTAAGTTAACAGGGTCATGTATACAATGCAGGGGGGTAGGTTCACAATTGAACACTTCTATGTTCTTGAAGTTCATCAAGTAAAAATTTGGTGAGACCCCTATTTCCAGAATACTGTTGTAATCTCTTGAGATGAACTTGGTATTTACAGACCTGAACAGTTCTTGGATTTACAAGGTTGTCTTGAAAAATCCTTGAAAACAGAAAATGCATTGAAAAGGTGTACATGATTTTTGATGACGGACTTGAATAGATCTTCAACTTCAGCAAATTTTTTTATTTTGTGTCAAAAATTCTTTACAAAATGTGTTAGTTCTAATTTTGTCTGTAAAAATAATTATCAAAGTAAGTAAGAATGTGTGGTAATATGAGCATTATGATCTATTATGTTGGTACATGTACTAATATCATTGAGGTCAATTAATCTTCCCTGTAGGTTCGCCAATTTGCAGCGGTTCTTTTGAGAAGAAAAATCCAGAAAGGGAGACAGTATCGTGCTCTGCCAGAAAATATCATTGCTAAGTATGTTTGTCAAAATTTAAAAAAAAATGTTAGTTATTGTGAAGTAAAATTTGTCAATACCAGTGATTGACCTTGGTATTAGGAGAAACCACCCTTTTTCTGAAAAGGGCAATATATATGGAGGGAGATTGTCCTGTAAAGAATGAAAAATATTTAATGTACAAAAGCAACGACCTGACAATTATAATGATAAGTAAGTCATATCATCAGTTGACCTAGAACTGTTTTCTTAGATATCATTTTCACTTTTGATTAATTTACATTGGATAAGTGCCATTAACATGTGTTAATAGGGTAGTGGATATATCCTTACTCAAACATTTTTGCTGGACCATTTTTCGCTGTCAGAGAAACTGCAACAGCATTTTGTTGTAGTTAATTACTTTTAAAGTAGTGAATATACCAGTAATTAGAGGACTTAAACCTCAGTATGTCATCATTATATCTCTGGAAACTCCGTTTCATGCTGTGCTAAATCAAGGTTAACATTTCCTTCTCTTCCAGTATCAGAGATAACATCTTACAGATACTTGTACAAGAACCGGAGTAAGTATTTTTACTACATTTTTAGCAATACATTGCACAGTTTATGTTGAGCAGGGCTCAAAGTGATGTCTTATTGAGTTGGCATGGCAACCAGCAGTTTGCAGCAGCAAAAGAGAAAAATTGGTAATGTGTAAAGGTGAAATGAAATAATAAACTGAGAGTCACACTTCACTGCTTCTGAAATAAAAAAAGTTCAATTCCTCAGGCTACTGAATTTCAACAGATTTAGATTAACATTTACATAATCAAATAGTAACATATTGTTTTAAATCTGATTAGATTTTGTTGATTAAAAGTCAAGGTAATAGGTCACACTTGACATCTCACTTTGTTTCTATTTGTTTATGCTTTGAAATATCATTTCATTAAAGTTTTAAATCATGATGTTATCACAGGAAGAGTGTGAGGAACTCCATCTCCCAGGTGATTGCCGTGGTAGCCAAGCATGACCTTCCAACCAACAGCTGGCCACAACTGCTACAGTTTCTGGGGGTCTCGTGCAAAAGTCAAACACTTTTGGAGAGAGAGGTCATTGTTACATTTTATAATAAAGTCGACGAAGAATACTTTGTTGCCCTTATTTCTCAGTAATCTCTAATAATATTAGTTGGATTTATTCATAACTTTGATTATACTTTAGAATGCATGTAATGCTACACAAAAGTTCTAGAAGTCAATGTAAAGTCTATAATGATGCCATGTATTATGGTACCAGAACGTAATTATTTTTTACTTTTAAAGGGAAACTAGTCTATGAAGAATATAGATGTGGTCCCATATGTGACTTCCTTTGTTACTTGCTCGTTACTTTGCCATGTTAGAATAAACAGTTGTACGTCTTCAACAGACTGGTGTGTTTGTGCTTCACTCGGTGGCAGCCGGGGCAGGAGAACAACTGAAGCCTCATCTGGCAAGTCTGCTACAGATGCTGTCAGTAGTGGTCAATGATGCCGAGAGTCTACTTGTACCGTACTACTCTATCAGGTAACTGTCTCACAGATTCATGTCCCTTACTACTCTGTCAGGTACTACTGGCCATTCAAAATCCTTTCACATTAAAAGCAGTCCAGTGTTCAAACTCTCCAGTAGACCAATAGACAATCACCATGACCAAGTTGTCTTTGACGTTATTCCTTATAATGGGTATGATTTAATGATGAATATAGTAGAACTAGCAAAAAGTGTTCTATTAAACTGTTTAACTTTAATTATTACAGATATTTCATTTTACCAACACTAAATATATCGGTAAAAAATGGTTGGTTATGGACTTGTCTATCAGACTTTCCGTAGGTCTATAAAAAAATTGATATTTTGCTGACTTTTTGTCTATGGCGTGTAAATTCTAAATTTTATGACTGACAGTAAACCGAGTCTCCACATCCCATAATCCTACTCACGACTACACCATCACCTACGTACCGCCACACAGATTCATGTCACAGAATGAAAAAATCAGCTGTACAATTCAACCCTGAATGAGAAGGACAGATGACTCTTTCTGTATCTGATGTTGTTTTTATTTTAGTGTTAACCAAGACTGAAATGATCTTTGAATTTTTGGTTTTAAAAGACAGTTCTGTTTCACATATGTTTTGACTGTCCAAAATTCAGGTAAAATTCTAGTTGACTTCTGAAATTGCTAAATGTCAAGGGTCAACTGAAAGCCCTGAAACTTTCTGATTGTTTGCCTGGGTCATTTTGTATGCATATTTTACTTGCAGAACAATCACAGAGTTGATCTTCTTTATTGGAGAAGATGAGAAGGTAAGATACATATTACAAAGTGTGCCATATATGTCTATGTCTAAAAGTTTTAATTTTATTTCTGTAGAAAAGGGAAATTATAATTATTTACAATATTACTTACTATACTATTCATGCAGACAAGTTCCACATACCGCTGGGTAGCTAGGTAGTCTTAAAACATAATCTATATGGCTAATCACTAAGTCATACAACATTGATTTGAAGCATCTTGTTGACTTCTGCTGCACTGATCACATGCTAGTCACATGGTATGCTACAGATCATGTGGCTTCATAATCAAACACCTGCAGATAATGTCAGATTTTATACATCATACCATAAAGTTTAGAGCTAGACGACTAACGTGTAAGTTTACTTTTGTAATTTATTGTCCTCAGCATTTAATGGGAAAAGTGACTCGGATTTTGTATGATTCTACTGTAAAATGTGAGAATGTAAATGTATTTGCATGGTGGCAAAAATAGGAGTGATGGAGTGTTTGATAAATAATCTTTTCTTGCAGCTGTGCAGCATTGACAGAGTATATAAAACAAGATGTTTTGTTCATATCTTCACTGTTAATTTCATTCTCGTTGTTGTTGATTCTTATAAACGTTTTTTAATTTCTTTGCATTTTAGTAAAATCACTAATACAAACTTTCAAACATTTTTACAAACCTTTTTTGTTTCGTTATAATGAAGCATGATTGTTACAGATTAGGATTGTCTTTTTTGGCTAATAGAATGTTGTTTCAAATTTAAGCTTAACCCTTTCACCACTGTAGACCATAAATGGATTCATCCATACGTGGTAGAATCTACTAAAGTTACATAAAGGTGAACGGGTTAATAAAAAGTTATCAGATAAGCCTACAGAATTATGAGTTTAAGTTAGTTTAGTGATATGCACTTTTAAATTGAAGTCAGTTTGCAGTGTCATGTATATGTTTAGATTGTAGCTATAACTATCACTATAGATATTATATCATAGCATTTCACATTTTCCATAGACAATTGATGGAGCCATGTTAATAATATACTTCTTTACTGGCAGGACAGATGATTATTTTCATTGTTAAACAAAAAAACTTAACACTACTAGGTATTTACATTTCCATTACATTACTATTGTGCCTAATTCAGAAACATAGTTATTTGTAGTATTTTAACTTGGGTTTATGTTGTTTTACGTCCATTTAGCTAAATTGCTCATGTCAGAGACAAAAATTGAAATACATTTTTTTTGAGATGGAGACAAAATCAGGGAGGGGGCTTAATTGCAGGCACCCACCCTGTTCCCAGGACATTGGCAAAAGTGGGGAGGGGGCTAATACGCTTATTTGCTAGAGCTAGGGGGCTTATTTGCGGTCAAATACGGTAAAATATAAAAACATCAACTTTCTAGCAGGAATAGCTTAATTAACTTTTGGTTGTGTACCAGGTAAATATCAGAATTCTTGGCTGCAGTGTTTCTTTGTTGGATATAGCTAGCTGAGGATATAGCTAGCTGAGGATATAGCTAGCTGATAGAAGTTCATAGTAACTCATAATAGTACATGTATCATGAAATTAAAATAAGACTTGTTTTCTTTTTACAGAAGTACGTTCAGGGAATGATTCCAAGAATTTTGGAGTTTGCCAAACTTATTATACCACAGGATGAGGTGAGTTACCAAACTTATTATACCACAGGATGAGGTGAGTTACCAAACTTATTATACCACAGGATGAGGTGAGTTACCAAACTTATTATACCACAGGATGAGGTGAGTTACCAAACTTATTATACCACAGGATGAGGTGAGTTACCAAACTTATTATACCACAGGATGAGGTGAGTTACCAAACTTATTATACCACAGGATGAGGTGAGTTACCAAACTTATTATACCACAGGATGAGGTGAGTTACCAAACTTATTATACCACAGGATGAGGTGAGTTACCAAACTTATTATACCACAGGATGAGGTGAGTTACCAAACTTATTATACCACAGGATGAGGTGAGTTACCAAACTTATTATACCACAGGATGAAGTGAGTTACCAAACTTATTATACCACAGGATGAGGTGAGTTACCAAACTTATTATACTACAGGATGAGGTAAGTTACCAAACTTATTATACCACAGGATGAGGTGAGTTACCAAACTTATTATACCACAGGATGAGGTGAGTTACACAATCTGATATAAGACATGGTCGGTGGGAGTGTTCTCAACATTAACTATACCACAGGATGAGGTGAGTTATACAATCTGATATAAGACATGGTCGGTGGGAGTGTTCTCAACATTAACTATACCACAGGATGAGGTGAGTTACACAATCTGATATAAGACATGGTCGGTGGGAGTGTTCTCAACATTAACTATACCACAGGATGAGGTGAGTTATACAATCTGATATAAGACATGGTCGGTGGGAGTGTTCTCAACATTAACTATACCACAGGATGAGGTGAGTTACACAATCTGATATAAGACATGGTCGGTGGGAGTGTTCTCAACATCAACCAGCTTCACAAAATAAGTAGGAATAAAAATACTTTATTACTTGCCTTACTTAAAATCTAAAATAGTTATTTCAACTCCCTTATTTTGGAGGGGTCAATATTTTTGGTTTCATTTCATAATGTACCCATTTTTGTTCAGACAATCACAAGCAGCCTCTGGAGAATGGGTTTGACCCCACACCATCCACAAGTTGTTCTCGAGAGTGCACTATACAGATGTTTACAATTATAATTTTAGATATCATGTCACCACCCATATTATCAACTGTAATTGTCTCCCTGTGCCCATCTCTACTTACATCTAGAATGCCCTTAAGTTCAAAGTAGAGTAGTATAGTCGAAAGAGCACGCATACTTACCAACTCTCCTTATTTTGGTAGGAGACTCCGAATTTTGGACCCTAAAAATGAACATTTTTAACCAGTAAACTTCCTAAACTGTTCCTGTTTTCTAAGATCTAATGATTTCATCTCATCAAACAACTCAAAAGATGTCATTCTAAAGTGTCATATTTTACCAATTAAAAGAATATTCCAAAATTAATTGTATGGGGAGGTAGGAGACACCTGTATATTGTGTGTGGTGGGTTTAAACCCAGATCTGTGCACCAATCAAATATTAAGTCACTTTTGATATTTGATTGGTGCTCGGGTCTCTGAAAAGAAAGTGCCTTCCACCCCTCCCAGAATCTTATTTCTGAAACAGCCCTAAGGGTATATATTAATTTGAGCATGACGACTCTTCAAAAGGTTGGCGAGTTTGATGTTGGATCTGTTGTGTTTGCAGGAGAAAGCCTGTGAAATGTTGGAGGTGTTTGATGAGATGCTGGAGTGTGAAGTCAACATCATTGTGCCGTACATGAAAACAGTGGTGGACTTCTGTCTAGAGGTGAGTACACCGTAATCAAAATACAGATCTCTGGAAATATTTTGGCCATGGAACTACTGTATATATCCTGTAATAAGCCCAGGTGGGCCAACACATAATTTCTCACTCAAAATAGGGGAACGGGTTTATAACAAAATAATAAAATATCATTTGTTTGTATGCATTATTACCAGACATGGGCTTATTCCCGGATAAATAGAGTAGTTTGTTTTTGGACGAAGTACACTCAAATTCTATACTTTAAGGCATCTACTTGTCTGTTACAGTAGTAAATCCACTTGTATGTCAATGTAAACATATTTTATTTCATTTCTGTAAACAATAGCAGTATAGCAACTGAACATTTACCCGGCTTTGCTCATCATTTTGCTTTCTTGAAAATAAATATCAGTATAAAAATATTGCTGTTATACCATTTTTTGTAGGCATGATATATGTCGTTTAGAATATATCTGGTAGTGACATTTCAAACACATTTTACAGCCAAATCTGTTTTCAGGGACCATCCTTGAAAAGTTTGTAAAGTGGTGTCTTGTTGCAGGCGGTCCCCTAACATGGGTTTAGTTACCATAAAAATAATTGCAATGGAGGATATATAAAGTAATCTCTCAACATAGAACGTCTCTTTTAGATGTGATTTATTACACAGATTTGACTATTCTTGTTCTACACTAGATATATAATATTAGAGGCATGATATTCTGCAAAATTATCACACTTCAGGTTGCTGGGACAGCTACTCTGGGCGACAGCGTGCGAGTCAAGGCCATGTCATTCATAGCATCATTCGTCAAGCTCAAGAAGAAGGTAAGCTTGCCCGAGTATTTCGTGTGTTCAACGCACGCCTAGCCTATGTTAGATGTAGACACCATTGGCTGATATAAACACCTGTCATTTCTGAACAATAAGGGAAGGTCATGCTTGAATTTATACCTATGCTGTTTAAAAGAAGATAAAATTATTACAAATATTTTTTGGGACTGGTTATTGTATCATGTGGCTGTTACAACCATGTCATCAGGAATGGGTTTACTTTTCTACTAGGCTTTCCTGAAACAGAAGTTGGTAAATCCAGTGTTGAATGTGATTTTCCCTGTGATGTGCGCTGGGTCAGAAGATGACGAAGAAGATGAAGATGAAATAATAGATGAAGTAGAGGCACAGAAGCCCTCGGTGTACGGTCCTCAGGTGAGTGTGGTGAAAACAGGCCTCTTAACCATCCTCATATGAATATACTGCAAAAAGCCTCAGTAGTAAGGGTTAAAATTGTGTTTTTGAACCTGGTAAATATGAGAATATCAAGCATTGCGATGTTTTGAGTTTGGGAGGGGGGTATTATAGAAAATATAGGAGACATTTTACGGTGATATTATAAGAATCCCAGCTGATAACAGAAAAGTAGCTGGTCACATATGACAAAGTACCTATCAACTAATTGCCAAGTGCCAGCTTTTGTTAACAACACTGCACTAGTCATGAATGCTAGTGACTGCTCTCTAAGATTGTGTAGGTTTAAACACATCAGACTCTCAGTTGATGTTACGACCTTATGTTGACAGGTGATTGATACCATGGCTCTCCATCTTCCTCCCGATAAATTCATCCCAAATCTGGTAAGTTGTGTTACAAACCTCAAACTTTTTATAAATACAGTATCATTCTTTTACAATAAAAACCTTGTTTGTGTTCATCTGATTTACAAATATTACGGACAAATTAAAATTAATTATTTAATTAAAAGTCTTCGTTGGTGGCTCAGTACCAATGTTTGGTAGAATTTTATCATTTCAAATGATCTTACTCATCTTCAAATAGTGCAAAGTTAAATGTACTTGAAAGTTGATTTTATTGTATTTTTTTTATAGTAGACTATTTAACAATGAAATTGATGAAAGATATGTTGAGAAAGAAATTGAGCACTGAGATATATAATTTACAAGGAGATGCATTGTTTATAGGGAGATAAATTGTCTATTCCTCTAGATGGCAATTGTAGAGCCGGCCATTTTGAGCGAGACCGCCTCCCACCGACGTGCAGCCTACCTTGCTCTGGCTGTGGTTGTCGAGGGCTGTGCTGACTATATCACAAACAAGTAAGTATACATGTTTGGTAATATGATTAAACCTTCATAAAGCATATGTTTTTATAAGCTCTGATCTATTTGTGAAATATCGCATTAATCTGAAAATGTTAATAAATTGCGCATTTCTGTGTTTAAATATTATGCACCTGCCATTCTGTGTCTTTGCTCAAGCAACTTCATTTGTTAACTGTTTTCATCAAACTTGATAGAAAGGCCAAGTAAAAGAAAAACCTCAAATAATTTCTTATTTTACTGTTGGAGGGCCAAGGTCACTGTTACTATTTGTAGAATTTATTCAACCAATTCAGTGTCACTCTTAACAACTACAGGCATTGCTGGTCCAAATATTACATTGATAGAAGGCATACTTGATGTGGGATAGAAGAATCAATATACTTGCAATATACTTGCACCGTTTGACTGAAGTTGACCTGGATTTTGACTTTGATGTTTTCAGACACTTGCAGACAGTGTTACAGTGTATTTTGGCCTAGATTTTGTCTTTGATGTTTTCAGACACTTGCAGGCAGTGTTAAAGTGTATTTTGACCTAGATTTTAATGTTTTCAGACACTTGCAGACAGTGTTAAAGTATATGTTTGACCGAGTTTTCGACTGATGTTTTCAGACACTTGCAGACAGTGTTTAATTGTATTTTGACCTAGATTTTGTCTTTGATGTTTTCAGACACTTGCATGCAGTGTTACAGTATATGTTTGACCTAGTTGTCGACTGATGTTTTCAGACACTTACAAAAGCAGTGTTACAGTGTATTTTGACCTAGATCTTGTCTTTGATGTTTTCAGACACTTGCAGGCAGTGTTACAGTATATGTTTGACCTAGATTTTGACTTTGATGTGTTCAGACACTTGCTAGCAGTGTTTAAATGTATTTTGACCAAGATTTTAATGTTTTCAGACACTTGCAGACAGTATTAAAGTATATGTTTGACCGAGTTTTCGACTGATGTTTTCAGACACTTGCAGACAGTGTTTAATTGTATTTTGACCTAGATTTTGTCTTTGATGTTTTCAGACACTTGCTGGCAGTGTTTCAGTATGTTTGACCTAGATTTTGACTGTTGTTTTCAGACACGTGCAGGCAGTGTTAAAGTGTATTTTGACCTAGATTTTAATGTTTTCAGACATTTACAGACAGTGTTAAAGTATATGTTTGACCGAGTTTCCGACTGATGTTTTCAGACACTTGCAGGCAGTGTTTAAATGTATTTTGACCAAGATTTTAATGTTTTCAGACACTTGCAGACAGCGTTAAAGTATATGTTTGACCAAGTTTTCGACTGATGTTTTCAGACACTTGCAGACAGTGTTTAATTGTATTTTGACCTAGATTTTGTCTTTGATGTTTTCAGACACTTGCAGGCAGTGTTATAGTATATGTTTGATTTAGATTTTGACTTTGATGTTTTCAGACACTTGCAGGCAGTGTTACAGTGTGTTGTTAAGGGTTTGAATGATCCAGACCAACAGGTCAGGAACTCAGCACTTTTTGCTCTTGGGCAATTTTCTGAACATCTACAGGTAAGTTTAGAATACTGCCTCTCCCAAATTAACAGATGCTGTTTTAGGTGTTTTTTCCGCTAGAAATCTTGAATAACACACATGTGTTCAACTTTGTAAATGATGTCAAACATCTTTGCTGTGTATCTACTGAGTGTCAGTGCTATAATGGACTTTTCATTGAGGTGTATAATTTGTGAAAGAAAACACAATGCATTGGTAAAAATGTCCAAATAACTTACAATATAAATTAACAATTTATTCATATAATGAGTCATATCCAATTTTGACAGGTTATACTGTAGTATGTAATAAGACAGAGATCACATAAACAAAAACGATCAAAGAGGCAGGTATGGTAGAACATCACACTTGCCATGCCTTACAATCTCCATTTCTCTGTTTTCAGCCCGACATCAGCAAGTTTGCCTCAGAGTTACTTCCCCTGCTGTTCCAATACCTTGGTCGAGCAACACAGGAGGCAGATAAAAACCCAAAAGGCCTTACCAAAAGCTACTATGCTTTGGAGATGTTCTGTGAAAACCTTGGTTAGTTTAACTGTCTCAAAATTTAAAAGGTTTCACCAATAACCATGTAAATTGATTTTGGGAATCAAAGTTGCATCAGAAACAATGATATGCATGAAAAATGGCTGATTGTTTTTTGCAACACAGCTATTCCATTACAAGTTTCCATGCAATTTTCTGTTAAATGTGTATTATAAATAGTGACATTATGCCTTACCTGTCTCAACAATGTTTTATTGTAGGTAAAGACATTCTACCCTACTTGTCCACACTAATGGAGCATCTGATCAATGTCCTCAAGACCTCACCCACCAACCGACCCAAGGAGCTGGCAATAAGTGCTCTGGGAGCCACAGGTTAGTGCTCCCCCTCTTTTAGCTTTTGTATGGCACATACAAGAACCCAACTCTGTTATTTACAAGCATTCTGTACCAAAAATTATCTAGCTGTAGTATTAATTTGTAGACCATGTTAATGTACTTTCAACTAAATTCCTTGATCTTGAAAAATGCACAATATATTGTTCATCAGCTGCAAAACGGGTGTTCCTGCGTGTTATAGAAATAACACTCCTTGCTTTAAATACCCTGTTAAAGACCCAGACTTCCACAATATGTGTTATTAAAACATAGACATATGCAGTGGTGGATCCAGAGACCTATTTGGGGGGGTTTCCAAATTTCTGGGGGGGGGGGGTTCCATGTGGGGGAAAATTGAGGAAAATAGTGAAAATACATTATTTTTAAAGAAAATCTCATGGTGGGGGGGTTTCTTGAAACCCAAGAAACCCTCTGGGTCCGCCACTGATATGACAAGAAATAACAGGTGCTTGATTGGTTCTGTGGATAACACACTCGCCTTTCACCAAGGCCGCTGGGGTTCGATTCCCCAATTGTGTGTGAAAAGGTATGGGGTCACTTTCCCGATCATGTGGGCTTTCTCCAGGTACCCTGCTTTTCTCCCACATTAAAGGCCCCCCGCACTTACATCTGGGCCAACAAGAGTGACTAATATAAGTTGATAGAACTTGTTTCATAATTGTTGTAATATAAATTAAGTTTATATATAAATAACTGTACAGGAGAAATTGTCCACCATATTTTCGGAAAGATTATTTACACTTGTGAAACAAAAAGTCTTCAAACCGCCTATGGTGCTCTAATCAAAGTTCCGGAAATCCTTGTCATTTTTATTCCGATATGAAAATGAGGGCGGGGGGGGGGGGGGGGGGAATTGTTAAAACCATATTTGGTGACATTGGGGACAGAACCTGTGTAAAGTGAAAGATCTTAAGTCTATGATTATGGTATAATAGGGAATTGTTAAAATCCATATTTGGTGACATTCGGGCAGGAGCTGTATGAGCTGTATATGTATAGGTTAAAACTTACTGATGTTGTAACACCTACACACTGTTTACAGTCAACGCTGCTAAGGAAGGTATGAAGCCCTACTTCCCAGTTATCATCGAGCAATTCAAAGGCTACCTCATGGCAGGAGAGGACGAGGAGATGAGAAAACTACAAATACAGACCTTAGGTAATACATGTACCTGTTTCTGTTAAAAATGTTACCATTGAAATATTGAAAATTATTTATTCTTGAAAGATGTCAAAATACTTGCCACACTCATGAAACATATTTGGTATTTCTGAAGACACTGTTAGATATCCTCTATCCATTCTCTAATATAAGATAAAGGTTAGATGTAATACCTGTTTTGTGTCTATTGTCTTATGCATGTTAATACATTGTGCAATACTTTTTCCGTATAGTTTATAGAATTTTTCAGAAGCCAATAACTACTTAAAATTTTCAACTAGATGTCCTGTCAGGCTGTAAGTGTTAGCTGGAGGAATAGGGTTAGAGACTTTCATGAAATTTGTACATTCTTGGTATCAGCACGCTGGGAATGTAAGCTCGAGGAAGAGTTTTAGAGATTATTGCTAACTTTGGATGTGTTTTATTAGACACCCTTGGAGTGCTGGCTCGGGGAGTAGGATTAGAGACTTTCCTGCCACTGACTAAGGAGTGTGCTCAGCTTGGTTTGAATCTCTTACACAATGTAGATGACCCTGACCTTCGCAGATGTGTGTAAGTAATCTTTCCTGTCTATTTATCAACATAGTCACATCTAATGTCATGAAATATTTTCTATTGGGACAGACATTTTGATGATCGTATTACTGTCCTCATCATGTTCATATTAAAATTGGAATATTTTTCAATATTTGTAATAAATTTCCAAGAAAAGACAGATTCTAACAACGTTATACAAAATCTTTAAAATTAATTGACTTTAATTAAGGAACAAAGTTGTGTTAATTTTGGCTCAAAACAAAATGATAATCTGTCTTCCTTTCAAACATGATCATATTATAAAATTGTTTCACAAGAATCTGTACAAATGACAACAGGTATGGGCTGTTTGCGTCGCTGTCCTCCATCATGAAAGGTGACATCGGTCCGTACTTAGAAAATCTTATAACACATATGATTGGTTCTCTGAAGTCTACAGAAGGTGTAAAGGTAAGCATTTCAGGACTTTTTCTTCCCAATGTTCAATCTTTTCAATGTAATTCTGTTAAAATACTATTGCTTGGAATATCAAAGTTTTACTTTATGCACAAACAATGTAGGTATAAACATGTTGCAATGTTTCAAGACTGACTGGTCTTTTTGTCAAGTTATAACTGAGTGGGTGGTCTTGAAACGTTGCAACACATTTAATACGTAAATTGTTTGTGTATAAAGTAACTATTTGATATTATATATTTACAAACTGATGAATCTTATTGAAGATACTAATGCTTGGCTATAGTCGCTATAAAAATAATAAACACATCTTAAGTCCAGTGAGCTACATGGCCATTGGCGTCATATTTTGTAAAACTACTGGCATTAGGCAGATATAAACCATTGTCAACTGTATCAAAATAATGTTTATCATTGCAGGCACATGTGAAGGTAGCAGAAGAACAGGTGAGCATATTTAACGAGGAGGACTTTGGCGAGGAAGAGGACATATCTCAGGAAGACGATGAAGAGGATGACGAGCAGCATATAGAAGGGTATAGTGACTTGGTTTTTTATACACCTGTCGAGAAACGGAAAGTATTACGTGAAAGGCAGTCGGGTGGACACGCATAATGGTCGCTCTATATTTCAAGTAATTTTTAACGGATTAATTTCAAACTTCATAGAAAGATTACTTAAAATGAGGCTCAGACTATTCAATTACTATCGTTATCCGACAGTAATTTATGGAGTTATTCCACTATATTCAATGCTGAAACAGTGTCCGCTTTATACCAAGAGTACTTTTAAATGTATTAACTTCAAACTTCATTGAAAGGTTTATTTCCATGAAAACTTGCTGTAACTTTGTTTTCCTATAACTGTTCAATAATTGACTTTAATGGGTATTGTTGACAGCAGACATTGTAGTGTGACAAGGCAATAGACATGGTAAATTTACCCAAGGGAGGGTGTCCCATACGACATGGTGTAACCTTGATTATTTAAGTAACATACTTATAGTTGTAACATTACACAGTAAGTTATGTAACACAGGACAATGTTCTGGTGTTTAGTTCCAGTATATATAGTAATATGCTGAAATAAAATACATGTTGCTTATAGTTTACATTTTAGGAAGTGTCATTTATGCTTTTATGTTAAAAAAATTGAATACTTGTAATGTAATTGTGCTTTTAAGATTATGGGTATGATTTCTCAGTGTTTTATTAATGATTTTGAGATTATTGGGATGAATTCAAGCATTCTTAATAATAATAATAATAGTCTTTATTTAAACTTCATACCATATTGAGTCAAAGACTTGTCTCCCATATGGTCAAGTATATTAGAAAATGTACATTATATACAACATAATCTTAAATAACTTCTGCAATAACATGTACATGTATTATATTTGCCACTTCTTGGATTCACGGTTATGAATTCATGCAATATATAATTGCCACTTTTAAGATTATTGGGTATCAATTTATCAAGTGTACAATTTACTGCGTGTGAGATTATTATGAATGATTTCAGTTAATTCAGAATGTTTCATAGGATAGGGCGCCGTTGAGATTATTGGTTTTGTAGTTTTTCTTGACTAGAACTATTTGATGCGTTGAATTTGTTGTAAATAAGACATCGCCATGACATTGTGTAGAGACAGTTTTCACTGTGTATGTAAAAGTTGCAGATTATTGAAGTTCTATTGACAGCTATTTAATGTTGTTTTTGTCTACAGGATCAGCGTAGAAAACGCCTTCGTTGATGAGAAAGAAGACACCTGCTGTGCTCTAGGGGAGCTGGCTGCCAATTCAGGGTAATTGAACATATCATGTGTGAAGTGTAGCCTCTCTTTAATGGGCTAAGTTAAGAAAAAACAAACTTTAACAACCTATTTTGATAATCTGTCTGTTGGCATTTTAAACTTTTCACATTTCCATCTTTTTAAAAATTCCAAATGCCTATTTCAGGATTGGTTTTGGGTGAATTGTAGTCTGCTAAAACTAACTGTAATCGCAGGCTTTTTGAAACTTTGGGATTTGTCGCCCAAATCTGTTGATAGCGATTGCGAGAATGTTTGTTAGAAAATATTTATACCTAAATGTCAATATGTTAATCTCTTACTCGCTTGACTACATGCCATGTCCCAACTCGACACGCTCGACGCATCATTTGATTTGAAGTGATTTCAACTGCTAACATAGACAGCCATCTTTCCTACACCAATATGTATCGGCCAATTAGGACTTTGCAGCCTGCGATTATGGTCAGTTTTAGCAGACTAGGAAAATTGCAGTACAATGTATATTGATAGAGATGTATGGCTGTGAAAATTCTACCAAAAATCTCATTAATGTTTAATGTAATCGGTTCTGCATACCACCACACTTTTCCCAATACAATCATACGGTGGAACAACGTTTGAAATCGTAGATTATTTCCACTGCAGGGCGGTCTTCTTTCCATACCTAGAGAAGAGTTTTAAGGAGGTAACAGATATGATGGACTATCCGGCCCAGGGAGTCAAGCGTTCTGCCTCAGCAGCCCTGGGCCAGATGTGCATCTGTGTCCACAAGGCCAACACAGACTCCCCAACACTGGATACTCAGACAGGTAATTATAAGTTGCAATATACAGAGCTAGGCTGTGTTTATCTCCACATGTGACACATGTGTTGGCTCATATTACAAGCTCTTCAGTGGTATTACATTTGCTAAAACAGTGTATAATAAAAGTAACTATCACATTATATATCGCCTACACCAGAAAGTTAAAAATCAATTCTTGTTATTGGACAATCAAAATTTCTCATCGCATCATCATTTGCTAAAATTGTAAAAAAAAAAAATGTAAGAAAATATGCAAGTTTCTTTTGGAATGAATATCAAACACTCTGAAGCTAAATTTGCTACCATTTTAAAAGCATCCTGTTGAATGGTACATTGAAGACGTGTTGGTGATTTTTTCCCCAGCTCTGACTGCCATGTTAAACACTGTGGTAGTAAAATACCTAGAGCTGATAAAGACTGATGTTGACCGCGAGATAGTGATGACCGTCATCGACACCTTATCTGAGATGCTGGACAAGATTGGTCAGCCGGTGTTACAGGTCCAGGGAGCCAGAGATGCGATATTGTCTAGGATGAAGGAGGTTTTCACACATAAGGTATGTCAAGTAAGAAGAAAATAACCTGTTTATCCTGATATTTTACCGGGGTATTACAGAATTTGATACCATGCTTATCTAGATTGAAGGATGAATATAATTCTGATTTAATATCAATCTGTCAAGATTTTGTATTATTAATTCCTTTAAAAAAAGTTTTGAAATATTTGTGGTTGATTTTAATATTTATTCAAACCTATTACTTACTGTTGGTTTGACATCTGCTCCACAGCTGGCTTGTCAGGATCAGGATGAAGACGAGGATGATGAGGATGAGGAGGCGGAGTTTGATGGGATGCTGATCGAGTCTGCAGGTGATGTCCTGCCTCTGATGGCCAAACTAATCGGAGGTCCAGAGTTCCTTCCTTTCTTTTCTAGCTTCCTCCAGGACCTTGTGAAACGGCTGGTGAGTGGTTGGACAAAAGACACAGGCTGACTTGACTAAATTTGATATTAGTGTACTTTGGTTTACTTTGAAATCAATCTGGTAAAATTTCTCCTGATTGGACCAGATAAATGTTCTTTGAAGCCTGGTGGGTCTTTTAACTCTAAATTGATGATATAAGTACCCACAAATTATCCATTTAATTTTGGCTTAGCTAACCTGACTTTTAAACTCACCTAAGATGGAGTGCCTTTGCACTTATATGATGGCACATCATCAGATGTCAACTTTCCTTCAGACGAATTCATCTACAGAACCTCAAGGCCAAAAGACATGATATTTTGTTGGTAGCTTGCTGTGGTAAAATTTAGATATCAGGTTCAGATGAATTACCGTGATTCACTTTCACGTTCATAAGAATCAGATATGTGGTGCATTTAAATTTAACCCACTACTACAGAACTTTTGAAGTCAGTTATATATATGTCTTCTAGTATGCTGTGGTAAAGGGCCATTAACTTTGATAAAAAAAAAATATATAGAAACAAGTAATAAAAAAATAAGTGAAAAATGACTGAAATTTCGTAAGTAATGTTTCAGAATCATTTTGAGTGAAATTAAAGAGAGTTAAACCAAGAAGTCTGTGTGATTAACGAAAAATAAACCTGCATGATAAATTCTTTTAACAGAAAGAGACAAGTGCTGTGTCGGAGAAGTCCTTTGCTGTGGGGACCCTGGCTGAGATCGTGCAGGCCTGTGGGACTTCTATCGTACCCTTCACAGACACTCTGTACCCACTGTTTATGAAGATGGTGAAGGATGAGGATGATGAAGTACGAAGTAACTCTGTGTTTGCTGTTGGTGTCCTCCTAGCTACCAGTGGGGAGACATTATTCTCGTATCCTTTTGCCCATTACTTTAATTCTTCTGACAAGTGATTTTAGGGATAACCCTACTGTATTTTGAAATTTGCAGCGGTATATCTTGATTATACTGTTGCTTATTGGGTTTTAGTGGTGACGCAGAGCCATTAAAACAGATATTTGCGACAGTATAATCAAGATATACAGTCGCTAATTTCAAAATACAGTAGGGTTATCCTCATTCTAATTCTTATAAGCCAAAACCACTGAAAGAAACGGTGATTTTGAGACATTTTTGAGTGTTTTCTTCTAATCCTGGGTCACTCTGCTGTGGATTGGTGACGTCAAAATTCAAAGTGAGGCGGAATTATTTGACATTTTGGGGTCACGCTAATGTTCGTGATGTCATCTATAATCAATTTCAAGACGCTTCGGGGTCATTGACGTCATTAACAATCGCCTATCATGGTTATACTTGTTGCAAATTATTTTGATTGACCAATCAAATGTGGTGTTACATGTCAAATGAATTTGAATTGTAATTTTATCAACAATTTCTCCAGATTTCACAACATTAGTTGAAAAAAAATGCAATATGTTATTTCATCCTTTACCATTGATCAGTCGATATCCTGAGGTTCTCAAGTGTCTGTTTGACGCCATGAGTAAGGCAGAAAATCCTCGTCTCCTTGACAACATCTGTGCTGCCACCTGTCGGATGATCATGGCAAACAAAGCTGGTGTTCCAATGTCACAGGTATAAAAAAATCATTACGAGCAACTTCACAGTTTATGACATTTTAAATAAAAGATGCATTTTTGAACTTTAAATTTTCCAACTTGTGTTACAGTGGTAAACTATCTAATTGCTTGGTTCTGACTTGTCTAGAGAAAAATTTCCCGTTAGCGCATTCTGGTAAAGCAGTTATCTGTAGCCCCCAAGTTTTATCCCTAGGAAAGCTCATTCTGGTAAAGCAGTTATTTGTAGTCCCAAGTTTTATCCCTAGGAAAGCTCATTCTGATAAAGCAGTTATCTGTAGTCCCAAGTTTTATCCCTATGAAAGCTCATTCTGGTAAAGCAGGTATCTGTAGCCCCAAGTTTTATCCCTATGAAAGCTCATTCTGGTAAAGCAGTTATCTGTAGTCCTAAGTTTTATCCCTAGGAAAGCTCATTCTGGTAAAGCAGGTATCTGTAGCCCCAAGTTTTATCACTAGGAAAGCTCATTCTGGTAAAGCAGTTATCTGTAGTCCCAAGTTTTATCCCTAGGAAAGCTCATTCTGGTAAAGCAGTTATCTGTAGCCCCAAGTTTTATCCCTAGCAAAGGCATTGAAATGTAATGATCTGATCTCTGTTTCATTGACCCCACGCAAGGACCCAGGGAATATTTAAAAACTACCCAACCAGGGTCTCTCAACCAGTGTTGTTACTCTTGGGGAAAACTTGGGACATGTTCTTTCCTCATAGGGGACTGTCAACCTGGTAAAATAGTAGCTGCTTCCTACTGACTTGGCTAGGTAGAGTTTCTTTAGCTCAGTCCACGGAGAGTCCGACTAGTAAGCCATAGGTCCCAGATTCAATCCCTCGTGGAGAAATTGAATAAATATTGACCTCTGTTACATAAGCATTTTAAGTTACTGTTGTTGATGCAAGACTGGTTGTTCTTATGACTGACTGTTTCTATCTAAAGTGACTGTTTTGATGACAGGTTGTTCCCGTTGTGATGCAATGTCTTCCCCTGAAGGAGGACTTCGAGGAGAACGAAACCGTATATAAATGCCTGTACGAGCTGTACAGCAGCTGTAATGAGGAGGTCAGTTTACTCTTTGATTCTAAAATTATATGCTCTTGTACTTCTATTTATAAAAGATAAAAACCTAATTGATATAATACTAGTAACTCATCTGTTTGTTTGATGACACACATTTTCCTACATCCTCATTGGTTAATATAACAAATCATGTAGGGCTTTGTTGATTTGTGATATTGACTCAGTGTTGCTATTTTTAGAAACGCCACTGAGCAGGTTATTATTAACTTTATGACGTCAGTTCAATTGTAACGTCACAATGCTTCCTGCCAAATGCAGTATTTTACTCCGTACAGTTTTCATAAGTTTTATCTTATTCAGCATTTAATATTCTTGTTTATTGGTCAAAACATTATTTAGCATTTAATATAACAAAGACTTTTATTTCAGTGAAGATGTGGTTATATAGTCCTGAGAAAGTGGTATTTACCTCAACGAATCACTTTCTCAGGCTCATGTAACCATATATTCACCCCATCAAAAGTCTATAATTGATTAATATCATATTTAAAGGTAATTTCTCCTACATTCAATGTTCCCAGTTGTAAAAAAAAAGTTTGTTAAAATCTCACTTGGGCTTATTGCAGATTTTGAAGCAAACTCCAAAGTTACTTGAAGTTGTTTCTCAAGTTTTGGGTTCTGAAGGATTGAAAGATGGTGAGTATGACGTCATTACTATATAGAATAAAAGCAAATGTCACAGTAATAATTAGCTAAACCCAATATCTGCAATTTTGCTTCTGATGTTTTACTTATGGTATTGATTTTAAAGATGTAATTATAAATACTATGTAAGCCAGACCTAAAGATCAATGGTTGCTATGATGGTTGGCTCCTGTAAATAAAAATGTAAGTGGTAGGTGTTATAAGAAATACACCCCCTCCCACTCCCCAACACTCCCCTTCTCCATATAATTACTTGTGAAATAGCCATGAGTGATTTGTATTGTCCTTTTGGCTACTGACCCTGTTTTCCATGTTAACCCCATAAAGAAAAGGAGAAATGACTTTGAGAAGGTCTTGAATTTGGATTGATGAAATATGTGTGCGTTCTGGTAAAGTATGGAGAAAGTTATTAGTTTGAATGTGTTATAAGCAAACAGGTTTGAATCATCAAGGAACTAGTCATTTAACATTAGACTGTTTTTGTACATGTATGTCATGTTTTAATTCCAGAAACACAGTCCATGCTGATACAGATGGTGAAAATGATACAAAAACAGTTCCCAGAAGACTTCAAAGCTATCACGAAGAGCTTGCCTCCTGAGCAGGGCAGTAAACTGGAAACATGTCTGACTTACACCAACGGGGCGGCATCGTAGCCTGTGTTTACTATGGAACAAGGACTGATGTCACATCTGATTGCCGCCTCATAGCCTGTGTTTACTTTGGAACAAGGACTGACGTCACATCTGCTTGCCGCCTCATAGCCTGTGTTTACTTTGGAACAAGGGCTTACGTCACATCTGTGCCCGCAGCCTAGCCCATAGTCTGTGTTTACTTTGGAACAAGGGCTAACGTCACATCTGTGCCCGCAGCCTCATAGCCTGTGTTTACTTTGGAACAAGGGCTAACGTCATATCTGTGCCCGAAGCCTCATAGTCTGTGTTTACTTTGGAACAAAGCCTCATAACCTCATGTTAACATCATGTTAAATTAAAGGACTTACGTGCCATCTGTGTCCTCCATCATATTAAATTAAAGGTTTCATTAATTGCCTCATAAAGTATCACTAGGTACTAGTATATGAGTCGTTTTTACCAGTGTAAATTATGAATCAAAAATAATCTGGTAAATAGATGGTCTGCGGGGACAAAAGAAAAACTGAAGATTTTAGAGTTAAATGGGAACCAAATCCTTAGAATGAGGAGCTTCTCTATCTGAAAAAATGTTCATTTTGATTGCTTTCCCTTACCCTGCATGAAATGATGAAATGATTACGGACCATTTCTCCCTCTCCAGAGAGGTCCTGTTTGATGTTTGAACTATTGACCATGCTTTTTGAAGTGTAAAACATATAAACGGGGAGGAAGTGTAGTGTTGTGTTGCAAAAAAATTGCCTTCTGTGTGGTAGAATGCATGTATTTTCAAAAAAGATTTTTTTAATAATATAAAATAAAACAGTTCTTTAGTTCTTGTTTACGCAAAAAAAAATGTGCTAAATAGAGTATTTTCAATTGGTATCATCGGCAACATTTGGTCTGTGTCAGAATTGTTTGCAATGTCTGTGAACTGTTGACATAGTCTGTTCCGGTATGTAATGACTTCTGCAGCCAAATTGTAATTTTGAAATTATTGTTCAATAATATTTCACTTTCTGTAATTTTCACTTTCTATTAATATCTGTTATTGTACATTGACTGTTTTAGATGTTATTGGGTTTCCTTTGTAATATACAGTTTGTCTGGTGGAGTCTTAATAACTTCTTTACATTTCATATTGTGGAAATCCAACTAGGCTCTTATTTTTCTATTCATTATTTTTTTGTTGTAGAGATATTTTTTTCTTTTCCCACAGATGTAAAATAATGAACTGACCAATCACAACTGTCATAACGGAATACTGTTCAAACAAAATGATTAATATGAAAAAGATGGAAGGAAAGCATCTGATCTTTTTGTGAAAGTATTTTGTAATAGAAAATTAATGTTTGAGTCCGTTGCCAAGTCTGAGGGCGTGAGATGAAATCTCATTCTGAGACATCCCAACTCCTGCTGAAGCGTGCCTCAAGCTGCAGGAGCCATAAATCTCACACATTCAAAAATGTTCCTCCTCAATGTCGCGCAAATCCATAAATCGACAATTTAAGACAGTCACTAAGAGCCGACAAACAATTGCAGAGTCTAAATCCGAGTACTTTTGCTAATTTGCTAATTTGCTAATATTTAATTTGGCTGCTGTCTGATCAGTTGTGCAATAGAAAGTACCCTGGGTATTTTACATTTTGGTACTTAATCATGGGTAAATTTGCAGCCAACCTTCCACCTAACCTAGTGTAGTCGACGCATTCACCTCAAGGGAATTCTTGTTTTCAGATACCGGTATGTGGGTTTGAGTACTTATCTTTTGTTCCTGTTGGGGCTAATTGTTGAAGTTAGATCATTGAGAAAATAGATACCATTTAAGATTTCAACATTTGTACATTTTGTATATAGTGTACTATATAAGATCATATTTAATATAAAAAATATCCACACAATGAATTTGTGTCGTGTGTAACATTTGAATGAAATTAGGTTTGATGCATGTTTTAAATATAACTATAAAATGTCATTTATATCTATATATTTTACTCACCACAAAGTAATATTTCCTAAATTCATTTTAATTATATAAACAGGTTGTGGGTCAAAGACTTGTATTTCTCCAATCTCCCTATTAATATACATGACATACGTAAGACTGTTTATGACAATCTGCTGAAATTACAGAACACATTTATTGATATTAATGTTTCATCACGGAGATATGACATCTATATGATATTTTAGAAAAGTGTTCCTATTTCTATGAAGATGAAAGACAATTCTACTTCAAATCTAATTGATAAGATAATAAATCTACTTATTTTATGTGCATGTACAGCATCATCAGCTAATAGAAGCACAGTTTAGCATATTGCAACTTTTTTCATAGGGTAATAACAATGATTTGACAAATGTGTATTATTTCTTTTTCTTAAATGTATGTAACATTTTGCATTCAACCTGTGATTTGTGTATTATCTTCCTTCAAACTTTTTATTACCAGGTTGTACCTAATCAAACGTTATCAGTTAAAGAATTTATATGTTCTTTTCCACTGTGTCATTAATCAATGATAATCTAAACTGATAAACTTTACTGATTTTATTTTCATGTTAACATTTTCCAGTACAGGATTGATGATCAAGAAATAGTCATTCTAGCAAGTCCAGACAATTTTCTGACCCTTGCCCGATTTCCTGCCAGACACCTTTGCTGATTTCATTTATCATGATCCAAATGGTTCGACCAAAGTTGTTCATTTGTGAGATAAGGTTGGACCTAGAAATCTGATGCTGCTTTCAGGCAAGCCTTCCTGCATACAAATTTGCAGGTCTGCCAGGATTTATACCCGAAAATGTTACATTTAAAAACAGACAAAACGGTTGTATCGCATAAACAAACAGGCTCCTTATCTTGATGCAGTATTTTCCTGTCATTAGATGGCCGGTACTACTTCCTGTTATTGCCACCACTAATTAAACATAGTGTAAACATAGGTTTTAACATTGTCGTTACAGATTTGACCATTTTGTTGCACCGTTAATGATTTGTTGAAAATGTTCATGATCTTTTGTGACATGGCAATGAGATTTAACGTATCTTGTTATACCGTTTCATTGGCTGTTTTGTTAAGCTGTTTGCGGAGGTACAGGTAATGCTGTTCAGACTTCCCTAATAAGAAACTTGGAGTTATCTTGACCAGGGCTTAGGTTGTTGCTTGACATTTTTCTGAATGCACTACAGCACGGACGGGAGTCATGTTTCCTTGCTTGGTTACTTCGTATGTTATATTATCTTTTGCTCTTGATCAGCATTCGTTTGTTTAATGAACAAACTTTCATCCCCATGTGCAATAAAAATTATTCATATCCAAATTTCGGTTTGTTGTCCTTTTTACTCCACAGATTATGAATGTAAATTGCAGCAAAACTTGAGAGATTATCAGTTAGAGGTTAAAGGTTATAGGGTATACTTAAGGATCCCAGTACCACTGCAAAATACTGTAAGTGTTGGAATCTGTTTTTCTTACATGACCATAGCTTTGACAAAATCATTTTTGAAAAGAAACCCATACCTTGGGACTTCTATGAGAAATAAAATGAAGGGAGAAAAAATAAATATAATCGAAAACGTGTTTTGAGTCCGCCGTCCATGGTCCGTCTGTTAACAGTTCTTGTTATTGCTATTTCTCAAGAAGTGCCAGAGGGATCTTTCTCAAATTTTATATGCAGGTTCCCCTTGGTCCTTAGCTGTGCAGGGCAACTTTTGAGCCTGATCGGATAAACAACATGGCCGACAGGCAGCCATCTTGGATTTTGATAGTGAAAGTTTGTTATCGCTATTTCTCAAGAAGTACCAGAGGGATCTTTCTCAAATTTTATATGTAGGTTCTCCTTGGTCCTTAGCTGTGCAGGGCAACTTTTGAGACTGATCGGATAACTAACATGGCCGACAGGCAGCCATCTTGGATTTTGATATTGAAAGTTTGTTATCGCTTTTTCTCGGGAAGTATCAGAGGGATCTTTCTCAAATTTTATATGTAGGTTCTCCTTGGTCCTTAGCTGTGCAGGGCAACTTTTGAGCCTGATCGGATAAACAACATGGCCGACAGGCAGCCATCTTGGATTTTGATAGTGAAAGTTTGATATCGCTATTTCTCGGGAAGTACGGGAGGGATCTTTCTCAAATTTAAATGTAGGTTCCCCTTGATCCCTCGTTGTGTATGTTATATTTTGAGACTGATCATAAAAACAAAATGGATTAAAAGAAGAACTAAACAGATCTTTCTCATATTGCAATGATCGATTCTACTTCTTTCACATTAAGTACTGTACTAGTAAATATGTGAAATGGCAAACTCACTTTGAAGGTTGGCTTTCATACTCATCAGTATTAAGTTTAGATTAAAAGGTGCATTTACTGTTAACATGAGTCGATCAAACAGATTAGAGGAAAGAGGAGAAAAGATCGAACTGACAAAGAACTAATGAAGATGGTACAAAGGTGGGCGCGTAGATCCCTCTGGGATCTCTTGTTAAGTTCAAATAGCACCAGAAAACGTAATTCAAAGCCAAATGTCAATGTTTTTATGTGTGCGACGACTTTGCATTCTGTTTTGGATAATAGGAATAAATGAACACTATAGAAATACTTTTTGTCATATCAATTCTAAAGGTCATCACAAAATGTTAATATGCTGACAAAACAATATTCATTTTAAGTGCAAGATACTGTGAAATTTGAGCCTTGATCCGATTTGGGTCCCGACATTCACAAAAACCGGACACTGATTGGTGACTTCAGAGCGTTCTTTAAACATCCAAAGTGAGCCCCAGGTGCTAATTTCGTTTGAAAAACACCCATTGATATTCTTCCTTTGATACAACCATAAATGAATATAAATCTTCCTCAGTTTTTGTAATGAATTAATAAAATGATGGTTCGGTGACTCGATTTTGGTACTGTCACTGCCAATCCCTTGATTTGAACACTGGACATCAGATTGTTATACTATCGCTCTAACGAGTTGAGCTGTCTGGCCGAACTGTGCTGCAGTTTTATCTAAACGGAAGTTAAAAGGTGGTTAGCGGTAATACGAAAAAATTACAGTGTAGTGGGACAGGGATCCGTGGACTGTGTGCCCGACCCAAGGCAGAGTGCATGGGGAAATATAATATGTAGGTTCTGTAAACAGGTTTTATTTTGCACACTGCTGTTTTAAGTTTTTTTTAGCCCACCATCATTAGATGGTTGGCTGATCAAATTGCCCTTTTTCCGTGGTCTGTCCATCTTTAAATTATTCTTGTTATCGCTAATGGCTGTATCTCAAAAAGTACTGAAAGTTCCCTTTTGGGACATAGTTGTGATCGATTCATTATGAGACTGATCGGAAAAATTAGATTGCAGCCAGCAGACAGCCATCTTGGATTTTGAGAATTTTAGATTATCACTATATCTCAAAGAGTAATTAATTGGCAGACCTTTCTGAAATTTGATATGCAGGTTTCCCAGGTTGTATATGTTTCCTTTGAATACTGATCAGGGGAAAAAACAAGATGACTGACAAGTTTTATTTTTTAGGTTATGTCAGACATATTCAGTATAACTGGAATGCAAAATTTGTAATTGTACATGACAGTATATGCGATATGCCCAGGTTAATGTGATGTTCTGACATACGAGTACGAATCTTGTGCTTCTCTGGCAGTACCAGTGGTAGACTATCCATACTATGTATAACGTACATTACAGTGACATGGACAATGCTAAAATTGACCCAATCGAATCCGAGTCGCAGTTGTCGGACACTTTTGATGATTTGAAAAAGAGAAACAGAGATTCGTTATTTTTAATTTTATTACATCCTGGGATTTTGATTACATTTCATCTTGTAAAACAATAAACATTGATTGAGAATTTTACAATTTCATTTTGATACAGTCAACCCTATTGTTTAAAGTATCTGTCAAACAATGGTTTTTACATTATACAGAATTACTTTTATCTGTACTGTATAATTATGATTTACGTGTTAAAAAAAGAAGTTACCCCCAAAACAAATACATTTCTTTTTAAATGTCAAAATTTTGTATGGAGTCAATCAGAACAAATAGGCCAAGATCATACTTTGAATATAACATATATCAATTTAGGAGACAAAAATTTCTAGAAGACAAATTATCAGTTGAAAGATCACGAATGCTGTACTCAGGTTAAACCATACACCCCATCAAGACCTAATTATACTTATCAACACATATTTCTGTACAGTCCTGTTGGCAATAAATCCACTTGAATAGAAATGAAACCAAATCACAGTATTGCGCTTAAACATATTACCTTGTCGTTTAATGTTATCTTAACTCAATTTAATGGGATAATTTAAATTTGATAAAATGATTACTAACATGATACTATGATGGTTTGCTGCACATATCTGATTATATAAATGTTCAAAATACTGGCTTCTGAAACTGAGCGGTACCAATGACAAAAGAGGTTTCTCCTCATAAAACAGTATCATGGTACTTCTTTGAAATGTTAGCACTTAACCCTTTCACCCTATTTAACTTTAGAAGACTCTACCATGAGTTGATATGGATGAGTCCATTATGGTCTACAGTGATGAAAGGTTAAGTAATGAACACATTTTAATGTGATCATGTCTCTTTATCTTTTTTTTGGACACCAACAGCCTTTCATAAGAAGCAGCCACCATTTAATGCTAACAGAGTCATTACTGTAAAGTGGACATTTTTCGAAAAAAATCACATGCTTGAAAACCATCACAATATGCTAAAATGGAAGTTTCCCAACCATTTATCCTTTGAAGAGTCTTTGAAACGTTAAAATTCCCACTTCAATAGTATGACAAATGGCAGCTAGATGAAAGTGACAAGATTACATTTTAATATGTACATACATTTATGAAAATAATTAAAATGGATCAAGTTATAACAAATGACAGTATTTAAAATATGATTAATTAACACCTGTGCCTGTATGATAGCAAATTAATAAAATGAAAGCACTTCTGTGGTAGTAACAATCACACAACCCCCAAACAAATATCAATTATATCGCAAATACCTGTCCTAGAGTCCATTACAAAGTCTATCTCGCAATCAGAATAAATTTTTGATGTGCATTCTTGTTAAACACTCTGGAAGCAAAATCATGGCTTACACATCAAAGTAACTTTTATCTGTAACTGGACTGGGTCGGAGGGTCCCTTGTTCGAATCCCGTGCATTTTTCTGCTCCTATTACATTTGGTGCCTGTGACCAACCCTTGTTTCAAGTACACTTGTACTAGGTGAATACTTGACAAGGGGATACATGTCAAAATTCAACCACACCAGAATTATCACATAAATATCACTTCATTGGGAATAAGACGAAACACAATATTCTGTTTACATCATAAGTCTGTCGTCAATGGTAGAAACATAATATTCTGTTTACATCAGAAGTCTGTCGTCATAGGTAGAAACACAATATTCTGTTTACATCATAAGTCTGTCGTCATAGGTAGAAACATAATATTCTGTTAACAACATAAGTCTGTCGTCATAGGTAGAAACACAATATTCTGTTTACATCATTAGTCTGTCCTCATAGGTAGAAACACAATATTCTGTTTACATCATAAGTCTGTCGTCATAGGTAGAAACATAATATTCTGTTAACAACATTAGCCTGACATCAGTTTTTGGCACCACTAGAATCATTGACCCCCGGTCAGCCCTGGCGGGGTTATAACTTGCTTGGCACCGAGTGCTCACTGACCACTGAAGGAAAGCCATCATCAAAGGCTGCATTCAACACATCCTCCAAACGAGTCACCAAAACTATGGCCAGGTCGTTCTGTAATCACAGATAATGTACGAGTTATACAGAATTAAACTGAGAATCGACAGGCCGCTACTGATATGTTGTTCATAGCCTATTACCAGGAACATGTGCATTGCGAAAATTTTCAAAACTACATTCAAATAATAATTTGTTCAATAATCTACAATACAGTTTTACCTGACTTGAAGAACACCTGTCTTTAACTATACAGACATGTATGCGTGCTCAGGTATCCCGACCTACCGTAGATTTTCATGTCGACCTGTCCATAACAACCCCAGTATATATCTAGTACCAGTCTATACCTGCCAACTGTCTATAGCTACTTACTTTTCATGATGACCACCTGTCGATAACCACCTGGCAATATATTCGGTCTTTGCGTATTGCAGAGTAATCTTCTCTTGTGAGCAGGTATTGATTGTTACGTTATTGGTTTGTGAGAAAATTACGTCGTTTTCTCAAAAATTGATGACGTTACTCTCACTAATATATGACGTAACAATCAATACCTGCTCACAAGAGCAGATAACTCTGCTATACGAAAAGAAGGAATATCTACCAATCGTAAACAGCTTCCACCTGTCAATATAGCTACGACTTGTCTTTCGTAACTAGCAGTTGTTGTAGGTTTATTTCCGCAGACCTGCCCATAATGACAACTTACCTTTGAAGAACGTACTTTAATTCCAGCAGTCCCTTTGCCATGTTTTACTTACCCTGACATTATTAGGAATCTCCAGCAGGTCCTTCTCGTTACGTTTGGGGAGAATGATTCTGCGGAGTCCTGCTCTGTGAGCAGCCAGTACCTTCTCTTTAATACCTCCAACCTAAAACAGGTATAGAAACTATTTCAATCTGACAATACATATCAAACTAGTAGAGTAAGGATAGACACATGTTCATTTCAAAATTTGGGAGAAAGCTCATTGGTTGAAAGAATATTTAGCAACTTTTATTAATATCAGGAGTCTGGACTTTAAATATCTGTATATGATTTATCTTGCCTGCCATGAACACTGGTGACAGAAAGTTTATGAATTTGAAACATGCAGTTGTTGGATATGTTTATATTGAGCTTTTACCTATCACAATGTTAGGTACAATTTGACTTACTGGCAGTACAAGGCCTCTTAGAGTGATCTCCCCTGTCATGGCAGTGTCTGACCTCACACACTGCTTGCTAAGCAGGGAAACCAAGACGGTTACGACGGTAACTCCAGCGGAGGGGCCGTCCTTCCCAACCGCTCCTGCAGGGAAGTGAATGTGTGTGTCTTTCTTACTGGCATTGCTCAGAATCCCACTCAAGCCGAGCTGTAAAATAGGTAATTACATGACTTACTGATTTGCAGTCATCTAAGCACACCAGGTCAATGTGTGGTAACTGTTTAAACAGATTCAAATTTACTGAACTGTGGCTACTGTTTAAATCAGATTCAAATTTACTGAACTGTGGCTACTGTTTGAATCAGATTCAAATTTACTGAACTGTGGTAACTGTTTAAATCAGATTCAAATTTACTGTACTGTGGTAACTGTTTAAATCAGATTCAAACTTACTGAACTGTGGCTACTGTATAAATCAGATTCAAATTTACTCAACTGTGGTAACTGTTTAAATCAGATTCAAATTTACTGAACTGTGGTAACTGATTAAATCAGATTCAAATTTACTGAACTGAATACATTTTGATCCCATGATATGTTTTACAAACAAATGTATGTGACACTCCTATAGCAATTTCAAGGCATGAATTTTTGTGAAGATGTATTTTCATGATTTTTCTTCAAATTTATACTTCTCTGGATTTAAATATATATTAATGGAACGCACCAGCTACAGTATACTCAAATCAAGTCTGAAAAAATACTCAGTAGTACTTAATTTTTCAATTATTGTCTAATCCAAACTTAATGCCAAAACATCTAATAGAATATAAGAAACATTAACTATAAATCTGAGCAAATCGAATTTATCAGAAGAGGTTACCTATCGGTAAGTGAAAGAATCTAATCAACATTTATACACAACTAGAAAACAAAACATTGGTTACATTTCTATTATTTATATCAATGTCCTACCTTGTGAGCATTGCTCCTAACCCAGTTGAGGGCGAGGTTGGCAGACTCCTTCATGACATCGCCCAGCTGACCCGTAAGTATGAGTTTACCTTCCCCGTCCATACGGGTAGCCTCCACGAACAGAATTTCCCCACCCATTGGTGTCCAGGCCATACCAACCGCCACGCCTGGCTGGCTCAGTCGCTGGGAAACCTCACTTTCAAACTGAGGGGGCTAGTAATAGAAAGAAGCATAAGTTAGACAGATTCTATCAAGATTGTGTGTTGAGGGGTGGGAGGAGGGTGTCCTTGTCTGCTCTCATCAGACAGCTTCTTCAGGGGAGGTATAACCACTGTTCTTTGTCTCAGGGGACCCTAAAGGGGGACACAATTTCAGAGGGATAGGAAAACAAGCTTAGCACTTTAATAAATTTCACTCCCAAACTTTGAAGTGGAAGGTCTATTTAGGGTGTTGTATGACCCAAGCTCTTTGTCTGATAGAGTTATTTTAGGGGAAGTGTAGATACTGCCATTTGAGTGAAGGAGAAATCTGGGAGGTTGGGGAGTACAACTAACAGTCTTTGTATTAAGACTTAAATTCTGGTTATGTTTAACAGACTTTGAAAACATCATTCTGATAACATTATTTGAAGAAATGTTTTATGAGCTCTGGTTTATAAACCACCAGCCCCACAGTACTGATGAGCTCATGCCTATAACCACAGATCACACTACTTTTCAAACTCAAGTACCATTACCTTATACACCACATTGACTTTTGTTGTTGAATTACATCCTCAAGGCTCACTACTGTCCATAAAGTAGATCTGGGTGGACAGTAACTACTATAGAAAATCTATTTACCCCCAGTATGTCCTCCAGTGCAACCTCATCTATTACAAAGGGCATCTCTGGAGGGTGTGCCAGAGTGGAGGCTTCCTGAGACATCGACTCCGACACGCTTTCATTATCTATCTGCTTCTTGTCCACCTCAGGTGCAGGCTTATCTCCCTTGGATTTTGGTGAGGCCTCGGCTACCCTGACCGCCACAGCACGGCACACGCCCCCTATCTTACGCTCCAGGTTCCTCACACCAGCCTCCCGAGTGTATTTAGAAGCTACAAGAATAATAGTTCAATATCCCGTTAAACTTTGCTTTTAACGCTACAGAGTTATGGTTCAATACACATTCACAAAGCTACTAAGGTTAGAGATGACAGAAAAGGTTCCAGTTCAATATCCTGTTGTGTACTGTACAATTTAAATCACAGTATTTTCCCTCATGATTAGCTTTTGCCTTAATTTGCAAGAAAAATCATTCCGATGGAGGCTTCAGGGGTCATGTTTAACTCGTTGAACTAATATGTATTAAGAAGTATTCTCTGTTGTTATACCATATACATCATGAACATAATTTTAGAACCTGTAGAAAAAAGTCTATTTCCTTAGAATTGGATACTGTAAAAGTGGACATTTTTGCAATGTGGAAATGCTCACGTATTCATGTTGCAAAAATATCCACACACACTAGATATTTAAAGATAACATAGATTATAGATACATGTATATAGATTTCAAACCCATTGCCAGAGTTAAAATTTCCACACTGGAAACAGTTTCAAGAGTTAAATGTGAACCGTGCAAGAAATTTCATTTTTTACAGTATGTATAATGTAATATTAACCAGTATTCAGTCCAGTAGGTAAGATTTCTGTAAGAGTTCGTTGGTAATTTGTGAACAGCCATGATAGTAAATAGCTTTATAGTGTAGTTTTGTGAGTCCCTGTGTGTGATATTTACCAATGAGCTGTACAGTATCTGTGGGTATCTGGATCTGTTCGGCGGTCAGTCCGTGCTCCTTCAGCTGTTTGGGTATGAGGTGGCGGTCAGCAATGTTGACTTTCTCCTCCTGGGTGTATCCGGGAATCTGGATCAGCTCCATCCTGTCCAGTAGGGCTGGAGGAATAGTAGCCATGTTGTTGGCTGTGGCAATAAACAACACCTGGGACAGGTCAAACGGTACATTCAGGTAGCTAGGGCAGAGGTCAAGGTAAAATGTTCAAAGCAATGGTACAGTGCCAATGGTCATCCGAGGAGCTGATGACAATGGTCAGTAGATAAGTTGTGTTGTCAGAGTAACAGGTAGTAATACATAATCATATTATGTATGTATTAACAGTGATCGGGTTAAAGTCTGGTTGTCAGGAATAACAGTGCACTTGTCAGGTTAACAGTACAGTGATCACAGAAATACTACAGTTGCCAGGGTAACATGGCAGATATTATGTTAATTTTAGAGTTATCTGGGAACAGTACAGTTGTCAAGGAAACAGTACAGTTGTTGGATAACACAACAGTACTGTTAAGTGTTAGGGTAATACTACATTTGTCAGGTTAACAATACAGTTGTTATGTTAACAGGACATTGGTAGGATAACAGTATAGTTGTCAGGGATTACAGTTAAGTGATCTGAACAGTACAATTATTAGGGTAACAGTACTGTTTTTAGTGGTTACAGTACAGTAGTCAAGATGTACAGTTGTCATATACACAGTACAGTTGTCAGGGTAACTGTACAGTTGTCATGTACACAGTACAGTTGTCAGGGTAACTGTACAGTTGTCATGTACACTGTACAGTTGTCAGGGTAACTGTATAGTTGGAAATGATGAACTTAACAGTACAGTGGTCACCTGAGGATCAAGTGTTTGTCTGGTCAGGTGGTCAAGGTTACGATATTAACCAGAATATCCGTTCAGTCAAACACGAAGGATACTGGTCAGTAAATGAATCATTCTGTGCAGGGTCCAGAACCTCTAGTAGGGCTGCGGCGGGATCACCATGGAGTGACTTCCCCTTAAACACACAAATGTATTACAAAATATACATGCTTACCTTTCAAATTTCCAATGAGGGACAAGCCAAATGGCAAATCTAAAACTATCTAAAGAAAACAATGACACCCCCTCCACCCTATGACCAAATAACAATGCAAAATACCTGAGTTCTTGGAGATGTTCCATGCAATGAATTGAGATGTGAGAAAGTTGCAAGAATTCTAATTAAAATTGTGAAAAATGAGGGGGAAAAGGTCAAGGCTATCTTCAAAATAAAGAAACTGAATATGTGTCATGATAAATTCACGCTCATTATGGAGGATAAAAAAGGTGAAAAGTTAAATGGTGGGGAAATCATTTTACAGTATTTACAAAATATACCAGTACAAGGACTAAAAGCATATGATTCCTAATTACACCAACAACAAAAATTCACAAAACTCTTAAGACACATTATACAGTAATTAAAGGAAAACTTACAAGTTTATCAACTTCATCCAACAGAAATACTGGATTATTTGTCCCGACCAATTTCAATCCCTGTAGTATCCTTCCTGGCATTGAGCCAATGTATGTGCGTCGGTGTCCACGGATATCTGACTGATCACAAACACCTCCCAGTGAAATTCTAAAATTAAATCAATATACGCAGGTAAAGATGTGGCTATAATGAAATCTATACATCAAGATGTTTTTCTCATAATAACATATCAAACAAGAGGCCCAAGGGCCTTAGCGGTCACCTGAGTTATATCATAGATACTGGTAGCTTTATTTTATTGTTTAGATGTGATGTGGAAATCAGCATGTAAACTAAGTGAAATACAATACTTGTCATGTCATCAATGGATAAGAATTTGAAAATATTGGTAAATGTTCCCTTTGGGGCCCCGCCCTAGCCCCTGGGGATGGGGCAGGAATCCTAATTTTACAAAGTAAAACTCTCATTTACCCAAGATGATTCTGACTAAGTTTGAGCAATTTTCTGCTGAAAATGGATAAAATATATACCGAAAAGTGTTATTTCCCTATATAAACTATATTAAACGTTAACCCCTCCCCAAGGGAGAACGGATAGCTCGGGGTCCTGATATTTTCAATTTAAATAAAGCCCCTGATGATCTTTCTTTCCACGTAAAGAAAATCACTGTAGTACCTCTGAGTCTGGAGAAGAAGATTTTTGAAATATTGATTAATTTTCCCTTTGGGGCCCCGCCCTGGCCCCAGGGGTCGGGGTAGGAATCTCAATTTTACAATTTGAAACCATCTACCTCCAAGGATAATTCTCACCAAGTAAAAATAATTTCCTACAGAAAGTTGTCAAAATATACCCAAAAGTGTTATTTCCCTATATAAACTATAGTAAACTTTACCCCCTCCCCAAGGGAGAACGGATAGCTCGGGGGTCCTGAAATTTACAATTTAAGTAAAGCCCCTGATGATCTTTCTTTCCACGTAGAGAAAATCACTGTAGTACCTCTGAGTCTGGAGAAGAAGATTTTTGAAATATTGGATAATTTTCCCTTTGGGGCCCCGCCCTGGCCCCAGGGGTTGGGGTAGGAATCCCAATTTTACAATTTTGAAGCCTCATCTACCAAGGATGATTCTGACCAAGTTTGAAAAAAATCCATCCACTGGTTCTTGAGAAGAAGTTGAAAATGTAAAAGTTTACGCACGACGCACGACGGACGACGACGGACGAAAAGCGATTGGAATAGGTCACTTGAGTAAAGCTCAGGTGACCTAATAATGCTGATAGGCACGGAACTATTCAAAACTTTAGATCTAAAACAAGTAACCCTGTAAAAGGAAGTAGTGAAAAGAGTTTGTGGTTTCACTAGGGACTGAATCAGTGACTCTAAGCTTCTAGTTTAGCACTCTACCACTGAGCTAAATGGAAATTCCCACTTGCTAAAGCTTTTGACTCTATGTACAATACACATCCTTTACAATACTCCCCACACACCCTGAGTCATAAACTTCCCACCAAGGGTTCTTCACTAATTTGAATGGGGAGTGGCAATAGCATCAATCTATAATAGGAAGAAAACAGTGAAAAGAATTTGTGCTTTTGCTAGGGATCAAGCCAGCAACCCAATTCTTTCCAGTCAGATGCTCTACTGCTGAGCTGAAGGGAAATTCTCTCTTGCCAAATTAAGTAAGGCGACTTTGACACTACCAGATGTGCACAATTTAATTTTGTTACCATCACTACACCAGGTGTTTTTTTGTCCATGCACAATCGTTTGCTTGTTTACTTTTAAATTTAATATATTCAGGGATGAAGTCTAACAGCAATACAGATGTGAATGCTGGCCTTAAAAGTCCAAGTCAAGACTTGCCAGCATACAACACCAGACAACTTTGTTTGTACCTTGACTAATGAACAATTCTGGTCACACATGTTCAAATTTTTGGAACATGATGAATAAATGTGGTCCAGGTCTTTAAAGCTCCATATCTGCAAAATTCTGTCAGTAGTATGTGTTAGAGACATACTATGGTGTCATTTGAGGAAGCTCCCTACCTGTTAAAATTTATCGTGATGACATTTGAACTCCCTACCTGTGAAAAGTGTGTGCTATAACATTATGGTATCAATTGAGGAAAACTTCCTACCTGTAAAATTCTCTGCCTAAAGTGTGAGCTATAGATTTGCCAATACTTGTCTTCCCAACTCCTGGGGGCCCTATAAAGCATAGTATTGGCCCCCGGAGGGTCTGTTTAAGCTGGCGCACTGCCAGATACTCCAATACTCTCTTTTTAGGTTTCTCCATGCCATAGTGGTCTTCGTCCATGTCTTTCCTGAAAAACCATTGTAAAACATTTTATCAGAAATAACTGAATATTTCAAATCAATTTATCTTTGAAAAAATATAAGATTTTGTATATGTATTGGAAAATTGGGAACACATAAGGCTTTACAAAATCATGATCATTTTAAGAAGAAAGTAGGATAATTAATGTTTTAATTGAATAATTTTTTTGTATTTTGTATTTTTTTTCCAAGTTTATAACAATGCAAATATATCATACATAAACATTATTACTCTCACACATTACCAGTCATTCATTAAATATTCAATAATAAACTGCATATATGGCCATGGTACCTCTCTATTATTTCCAGGTATAATTTATAAGTAATTAAGTTTTAATTGAATAATATCAACAGATAAAAAAAAATAAAAAATAGGGGCATCCTGATGCTAGATATGTTGTACACTGCTGATCTTTATATTTGTATTTATGGTTCTAGCAAAGTCCACAATTACACCAAACTTGGATAAATCTTAAACAGTGAAATAATAAGATTAATAATAATGTACAGAATATGTTACCAACATAGCCATCAGATTTATCTCTATCAAGTCCATATATATAAATCATTTAGCTTTGGTGTATTTTAAAGATCTGGTTGTAATATCTTAACTCACCGGGCTTGGGCAATGTCAAGGGCGTCCTTGCTGTGTTTGGACCAGGGTAGTTCTACCATTAAGTCAAGATAGTTCCTGAAGACAATGATATTGTACATGTATCTTACAACTACAGCTGTATCAATTTCTATATGGAATTCCTCATATTTACTTATTTTCATTTTTTTTCCCCCATAGAGATTACATAATAGAGAAAGTAATATCAATACCATTATGTACAACCACAGGCATCCATTGATATAAACTAGAAAATGTCTGTAAGACATTAACGCTTCCGCCCATGGATGTGACAGGACGTGACGCGACGTGACGGACATGGGCAACACTATATGCCCCCCCCCCCCACACATTTTATGGCAGGGGCATAAAAACAGATGTTCTAAACAGTACAGAAGTATTTGGAATATTTCTATAAAAGTTATAAGAAGGAAAATAGTGAGAAATCCAACGGATCAAATAGAATACAAAGATTAGAGAAAATGATTACTTCTTTAGTACATGTAATTAGCTCTCACGAAGATTCATTGATGTTTTGATGTTACTTTTAGTAATGATTTTAATTGCTGTAAGACATTAACGCTCCCGCCCATGGATGTGACAGGACGTGATGCGATGTGACAGGATGGGACGCGACATGACGTGACAGGATTTTCAATGCAGCTAAATAAAAGAAAATGTTTACAGTTTTGTTCAAATGTATCTCAAACGCTGAGTTTGTATAACTGACTTTGTGTAATGAACTTGGCACAACTGACTTGGGTAGTGTAATTGAGTTGGTGTAACTGACTTGTAATTGAGTTGTTGTATTGACTTGGTGTACGTTACTTTGTGGAGCTGACTTAGTGTAATTAATTTGGTGTAACTGACTTGTAATTGAGTTGGTGTAACTTACTTGTAATTGAGTTGTTGTATTGCCTTGGTGTACGTTACTTTGTGTAGCTGACTTCGTGTAATTAACTTGGTTTAACTGACTTGGAATTGAGTTGTTGTATTGCCTTGGTGTACGTTACGTTGTGTAGCTGACTTCGTGTAATTAACTTGGTGTAACTGACTTGTAATTGAGTTGGTGTATTGACTTGGTGTACGTTACTTTGTGAAGCTGACTTAGTGTAATTAACTTGGTGTAACCGTCTTGTTTAATGGACTTGGTGTACCTAGCTTAATTGACTTAGTGTGACTGATTATTATAGGTGTAACTGACTTGGTGTAATTGAGAATCGTCACCTGATCATTGCATGCTCTGGCATCTGTTGAGGCATTTTCTTCATTCTTTTAAACTCCTTCATCGCTGCCTTTAAGGCATGCTCTGGCATATCAGCAGCCCTGGTTATCAAATAAAAAGTTAAACATCGAAAAAGCTTAATCTAGTATTGAAATTCAAAACTAAAATTTAATTTGCACAAAAAATTTTTTTTTTTGAATTATATTTAATTTACCCTGGTGTGATTACTTTATACTTGCCATCTCTGCCTATTCAGGTGGGAGAATCCCTATTTTGGACCTTAAATTAAGCATTTTCAATCAGTTAATATGTTAACTATTCTTTATTTCTAAGATCAAATTATTTAATCTGGAAGAACTCTAGATATGTCATTTAAAGGGTTATTTGGTCTCTAGGGGGTATGTACACACATTTTGTTTAGGTTTTCATTTTGAGCATGCAGAATCTCCCTCACAGAAATTTTAAAAAGGTTGGCAATTATGCTGTTACGCTGGAGAGGTGTAACCACACATTTCTGGTGTGAACTATCTTAAATCACCCTATGGTTTAGATGAGGGGATTCCCCAGTTAAAACAATTGTCTGATGTCATGTCACCAACGAAAATAGTGAAAATACCTATTTGTATGTGGAAACAAGGTGTATAAGATTCTGTTTCTCTTACTTGATCTTCTGTTCAAGGTCCATCAACTCGTCAATATCGCCATCCTCATCCTCCTCTAGATCGGAACTGATCTTCCCAAACATACGCTTCATGTTACCAGGACGATTACTGCCCTCTTTTTTCGTGATGATTTCAAATTTGTCTTTCCTTGTTTTTTGTAGAAGTTTTAAACCCTGGGTGAAACATTCCAGAAACAATCTTGTTTTATTGTGTTCAAACATTATGTGTTTCTTGGAACTTAATATCAGGTGAAATTAAAATTAACAAAATCAAAATGGAAAGAATTACATTAATATACAAACATTTTTGAACTACCATCACAATGAAAAATAATGAATTAGGCTTCTGTGCTTAGTATTAAACTGAAGAACTCAGTGTCTACCTCAATTTGCCTCATGAGCAGAGGCAGTGCTTTCTTGAACCTTTCAGTCAAGTCAATAGCATCCAAAACCTGAATCTTCTCAGAGTATGAGGCCTTGACAATGGCTGCACAAATGTCAGGGAGGTGTTGGTCTGGTAACTTCTCCAGCATTTTCTGTTGTAAATATAAACCAAAGCTAAGCATAAAAGATTCATGTAATTAGCATCCTCTAATGGGGCAGTAAAACTGAGAAACAACTTGCACTTTAAATCAAGTTTTGTAATTATACATCTAATGACAAGGTTCAATACAGCTGTATTGCAATCATACGTTTTATGACCAAGATTATTACTCAATATGATCCAGGTTTAGTATTGCAATCACATATGTTATAACCAGGTTTGACTCCAACTATTCACATTCAGGAGAGTTGGTACCGTAATTATAATTTTGATATCACTGAATGGCAAAACAAATATTCTATTTACATTCTATACAACTTCTTCATTAAAAAGAAAAGTTTTAAGTTTCATAATGTTCACTATTTCAGAAACGGAATGATGTTTGTAATCACCTTGAGCTTAGCCACAACAGGGATAGAGATGTCAAGCATGTCTACAAGCTTGCTTGCCTGCTCCCGGAAATTCTCGGCCAACACATCTAGCTCTCCCATGTTCTTCATGTTTATATTATCATCTAAAAAGCAATTTTATAGCTCCTGGTTTAAGACACATTTGCCCATTTTGATACATTTTATTATAAAGTATTCCTATGACTGTCATATCTATTTCCATATATGGAGATATATTAAATTGTTTCTGAATACCTTTAATGTAATTCATATTTGTAAATAAACAAACAAATTGAACTATTTATATCTTTCCTTACTTACAACCTTTCAACAGTTATCTTTCTGTAAATTATAACAAGGCTTTTAGGCTATGTATTTCTTTACTGATATTAGGCATGACCTACCAATGAGCCCAGGGAGTTTGTCAAGTTGATTGACTGTTGCCACCGGATACGGAGCCTCCTGCAGAAGTTCCTGGAGTTTGAAGCGACACAGCCCGGTGACCAGCAGGGTGTAAGCTGGCTTTGGCCAATTGGTGCCCGTGACCTGAACAACCACTGCAGCGGTACCGATGTGATGGATGGAGGACAGATCGTCTCCCTAACAACAATGTGTTTACAAGTTAAATGTCATTATATTTATAATACACATGTAAACTACAGTGAGACCTGTCTAATCTGACACCCCAATGTACACACCATATTTGTCAGATTATACAGAATGTCAGAATACATAATGGTAATTTTCACAAGAAATGACCCATTATGGAATAACAATATCATGTTGCATTAGACAGGATGTTAAAATATTCAGGGGTCAGATTAGACAGGTTTTACTTCCTATTTTTCATTAGAAATGAAATTACAACATTATGTTTGATCAGAAAGGATGTTTGAATGCCCAAGAGTCAGATAAGATAAGTGTCACAGTACACAGATATTCAATTCGTTAAAAACTAAACTGAGACAATACAAACATCTCATTTTCAAAAGACTATGATGTGCTGAAGAAACTTTTTCTAGGGAATAGAAAGGTAGATGATTCCTTTGAGCAGTTTTATAAATAAAACTGTCAATGTGACACAAAAAAATGTTTTAAAACTAACAGTAATAAAATATTCATTAACTCAATCACAACTAACAGTAATAAAATATTCATTAACTCATTCACCCCTGAAATTCGTAATGAACTATTCCCACCTTGAAATTGGAAGAGTTCAAATGTGTCTTTAGGGGTGAACGAGTTAATAAAGCATGTTGCCTTACCTGTTCATCAGAAGGATCTCTCGGTATGACACCTATGATTGTACTACTTAGAGTGTTTCTGCTCAACAGGCGCCCTTTCACCATGTTCATGCTGCAAAGATTAAGAAAAGTGTTCAATGTGGAGTCAATCGATAAAACTAAGTTTGTTACAATTCTGTACATTAATTTAAAATATATATATGCAACATTTGTTGAAAAACCAAACCTCAAAACCTGCTGAATTGATTATTATTGAGAGAAAAAAATATGTATCATTAGTTTTTACACTAAATTTACCCATAATACTGGAACAAACTTCACTGTTAGCATTAAAAGTGATGAAAAAGACAGTTTTTTTTATCGAGTATGAATTAAAAAGTCATTATTCACCTCTGTTAGGAGAACCATGTCACACAGTCAGTGGAAAACAGAAGCAATTTTAAAGCTATGCTTTGTGTCTGTTTTCTCTCCCAGCTTTCATTACATGCGTGAGAGGCTGACAGAATGTTTCTGACTCCCCGAAACAAGTTTTGACACTGGACTTTGAAAGGGCATGTCTATCTGACATGTGTTTTGACCCTTAACCCTTTCACCACCGTAGACCATATTGGACTCATCCAGATAAATGCATGGTAGTCTACTTAAGTTACATAGGGGTGAAAGGTTTAAAAAATTTCAGACAAAAGGTTTTTCACTTCTTTTAGTTGCTAAAAGTTAAGGGTCAATTGAAAGTCCTTGGTCTATGTAGTTTAAATTGGAATTCAATCCAGTTATGTTACATCCTTTCATGAAAAAAAAAAAAAAGAAGAAATATTGGCTGCTTGAAAGGTGACTGAAACTATATACCTGATTAGAATTGTCAAACTTGCTCTGTTAAAATACTTCATAGAAACCCAGAGGCCTGAAATCTTGACATTTGGCTAATATCATCCTTGATTGGAGGGCTATCAATATTTTTTTCCAACTGATTTACCTTGACCACAGGTGTCAAATGTAATAAAATATTTAAATGACTTCTTCTGAAAAACCTAGACTTTTGCTCATACTATCTGACTAGTAGTATGGTGGAATGAAGTGTAATCAAGTGATGAAGAGTCTTATCAAGTTTAATTATTGAAATGAATTGCCTTGATCCAGTTCCAAAGTCAGACAGGAATCGAATGCACTAAAGCCTTTATAAGTAGATGATTAGACTTCAAATGTCATCATGACATTCAGACACTGAATGTATTTGCAACTTTTTTTGAATGTTTTGTGTTTGTATTCACTACAAAAAAAACTGATGACATCAACAAATCTTGAGGTATCCATGCAGTGAAGCAGTCTGAAGCTGGACCTGATCCAGAAAATAGACCTCTGATGATAATATGGTTTATCATAATTTATAAACAATTTGGTGGGACATTTCTGTGTTTTAAAATATTTTTGAAAATTTTAATTGTAAATATTTTAGCTGTTAGTCCTATAGGCGCTGGAGTATCAACACTCTGCTGAGAATGACACCCCATTCGGGTCAGGGAGGAGAAGGAGGAGAAGGTTTGGTTTAGTTTTGTTTAACGTCCTATCAACAGCTATGGTCATTTAAGGACGGCCTCCCCTGTGTGCAAGATGCACGGTGTGTGTTTTGGGAGGCTGCAATATGTTCGTGTTTGTCTCCTTGTGATAGTACGGAACTGATGCCGACTTTATAGTGCTACCTCATTGAAAAATACTGCAGAAGACACCCAGCAGGACACCCCACCCATTATACTGACAACGGGCGTCCCACTCCCACTCCTAAATTGCTGAGCATTAAGCAGGAGAAGAAACTACCATTTTTACAGACTCTGGTAATAGTGTCTCAGAGAGAGGACAGAACCCAAATCCGACCTCACAGGGGCGAACGCTCAACGAAAGGCCAAAAGTGAGGCATTATTAAGGAAGAAGAAAGTTGTTTAGAAAGAAGAGAAAAGACAAGATCCCAAATTTAGTCGCCTCTCCCGATCATGCAATGGGGGCAGCTGGTAAAATTCTTATGCCCTATCTACAGGGGGGAGGAGGTTGCTAACTGTCAGTCAAAGTAATCTTATAAGGACTTAACCTTGTTCGTATTTAACAACGGGAAGTAGATTGCTTTTTTTTTTTCTCTCCGACCCACTTATTTGGCAATTTCCATCTAGAGGCTCTTAAACTGGTCACTCAACCACAATTAACGCTACAGCAATTTTCAACAATAAAAGTGTAATCCAACATTTCTAATCGGCCTACATATACTAGGAAAGTGAAAGTACAAATGGATAGCTTCCAATGGGATATCTCGCATTTATACAACACAGTCTCGGAGAGTTATAATATTGCATGGTTGTGTCACACACAATAAGAACAGATCTATCTCTGAAGTGATTTACGTTAGTGTCAAGATCTAGGACTGTGCAACCGAGTACAGATTATTTCTGTTGGTCTTCCAGAAATATCCTGGCCATTCAGTACAGACACTGAAAAAGCAACAACTTAAGGATACAAAACTTATCATAGATAGGGTAGCGTATTAAATTTCTAAACTGAATGAGACTTCAGCGATAACCCTGCATCCGTCCATATATATTGTTATATAAGCTTATCAGCATTTGGCTTTGCTGTCAGGTCGCGATCCTTGATAACTAGTTCGTAAACATACTGCAAACTAACACAACGGACTCCATTTACGAACTTATAAAGGATAGGTCAAATAAATGCTTACTTCCGCATACTCTTGACTGGAATACGCATGGATGACCCGGGAAGGAGGACATTGTCAGCCACAAGAAGCAAAGGAAGACGACGAGGGATTGTTATGGCCGACGCCATTTTGTTTGAATGACCCAGATAAGTTGAGAGGTCAGAGGTCATGACTAAAGTACATCACAACAAACGCACGTGGGTATTGACTTGCACTGGTAAAACGTTGCTCTTGTATAATTTGGTGTTAGAGACCATTATTGTGACAAATCGTGATTTTGATAATAATGGAATAACATGACCATGTCAAAATGTTCATTTTTTTCTTATCCCCTTGAACTTTTGAAATATGTTTTTATTAGTTGTTTTTTATTTCAGAGCTGACTGTCAAAGGATTGTAAAATCCTAATTTTGTCAGAATAAATGTATGCATCTATGTTATATCACGGACCGAATATGTTTTGTTAATAGAAGTTTGAATCTGTGTTCTGAAGTATGGCTTCTCGACAATTACTCTTTAAACTTCTTCAATGATAATTTTTCTCAAGCGTAACTTTTCACCATTCTGATGAAGCTTTTATCTAAATATGGAACACAGTTATAGGCCTAGAAATTTCATAATCAGTTATTTGATCATTTTGAAAGTTTATCTAAATCTGATTGTAGAATGAATCTATCATCTCGGTTTCCGATCAGCATATAATTTATCATTCTGTGTTCTCAATAATATATACAGTAGTGTTACGTTGTGGCCGTAATCAAAATAATGACAGACCGTATATATAGTATTTACAACTACATGTTTATTGCTACATGGCTATGGTGGTTTATGATTCAGTTACAGAGTACATGGTCAGTATACACCTGTGTAATATCCATGATCAGGGCCGCCTTGGCTGATAGGCATTGACACGAGTACTAGTGCAGTTAATTAAAATGCAGGCCTTTCTCACACAGATCTTATTACTGTCGTAATGGATAATGGCTGGACTTTACAGTAAGTATGGGCAAAGAAGTAATAACGACAGGTAGACAAAGACATTTTCAGGGTGATCCGCCCTTATCAAGACAGGAATATGAAAATTTACATATCACAACACGTAACAGAGAAAAATAATAAAACAAAAAAGTTAGAACGACAGCATGATCCAATATTGGCACTGGAAAGAAGTATTAACGACAGTGTAGACAGTATTTATGTATGCAATATATTGGTCTGTGGTATGATTAATTAATGTAATAAATAAGTAGCTCGTGAAATCTGAATGATGATCCATTGACAACTACTTTATGTTGCCTGTTATTTACTGGTGAAATGTTTTATCCCGTATTTTATGATGAGGTGCACATACCTTATCAAATGACTTCACGAAGTAAATATAAACAACATATAATTCTCTTCTCGCAAAAAAACGCCCATTATCTAAAACTTTTGACATATGAAATGCTAACGTTGTAATTCTTTCAAACTAGTTGTTGTTAAATATATTGTTAATTCACAAGAGTTGCATACTTGCATTCCGGATGAGGTTACCCATCGTTTTTACAATTATATTTTTTAGGTTCACATGGCGGTAATTACCAGTTCATATTTATGGCAGTAATGTTTGCATTGTTCCGTGGTTGTGCCGGTTTTCCAACCTCCAAAGATTTCCTAAAACTATTTTACAAGTGTTTACACAAAACATTGCCAAGTTCCTTTAATGCTTTTGGGTATATTTTGTCTGGTCCTGATAGAATGAAAAGCTAAAAGTTCAAATACCCGAAAAATGAGCTTTCTTTGTATGCGACACCAACTGCAGTGCAAAGAAAAATCTTGGGAAAAGTGACTATCGAAAGAGTAATTGACTGAGGCGACGAATTACTGAGCGGGAAACAAGCTGGGTTTCTTAGAGGCAAAATCACGTCAGAGCAACTGTTCGCACATTTCTAACACCATTGAACAGAATCCGGAATGGAATTCATCTTTACTAATCAACTTTGTTGAATTCGAGAAGGCATTTGACTCTCTACATAGAGACATCATTTGGAAGATTATGACATCGTATGTCAGACAAGCTCACACGCTTGGTGAAACTCTTTATGAGAACACAGAGTGATCGGAATGTTTCAAAGTAAGGATGTGTTATGTCCTATATTCTAATTACCATCTACAGGATAAGTAAGAATACAATGAGCGGGAAACCAACCGGAATATGATGGAACTTCACAACAAAACTAGACGATTTGGAATGTGAAGATAATTTAGCACTATTATCAAGATCTACAAACCAAAACAAATTGTCTAAAAAAGTAGCAAGGATTAAGCTGGATGAAGGGCCATAGAAGATATGGACTCTTTCATGTATGTAGACGGAATTGATGACAAAATATGGGGTTTGTAACTAGGACATCAAGAACAGGCTTGGTAAAGTCAGTACACAGTTTTACAGACTCGGGGAAATATTTAATTCTTATGTTAGTGTGGTGAACCCGTGTGTTTACATAAGGGAGATAATTTTGAGAAATATTGATAAGACTCGGCTGTAGTTTGGGGTATATTGTAAATCAATACACATATTTCTGCTTTATCAGCCACCTTTACTGGTATACAGTATATACACATACACTGCCGCCCAGTACGCGTCTTAGCCTAGCTTATATAAAGGCGGTGGTATTGCTGTTTGGACAACTGACCCGGAACAGATACCAGGACCAAAATCACCCCGAAACACCTGATCGCCGTGATAAGTAATGCACCAGTACCACACCGTATTAATCTGCAGGGTACGACAGGCGCGTGTGTCAAACGGACCTCGAAACGTCGGTTTGTTATTGTGAACGACATTTTCCCCTATCAAGACAATATCCATGGATGTATCAGCTAATGTGAGTGTGGACACATTTGGTCTTGTATGTTGAACCCTATAATTTGGTGCCAGGTATGTGAGATTTGACGTCATGGCACAGCGCGTGATCCAGAACGTGGAGAATGACTACCTCATGTGCAGCATCTGTCTGGGTCGGTATGACGACCCACGTCTACTGCCGTGTGGACATACATTCTGTAGGGAGTGTCTGTCCGGACACATACAGCAGACGGTTATTGACCGAAACTCACGCCATTTCACCTGTCCCATCGATAGGAACATGGTACCGCGACCGGCAAACCGTGCGCCCAAGGATTGGGCAGGTCTTTTTCCTACCGACACGTTCTTATCGAGTTTACTGACAACTGTTCTGCAACATGAAGGGGGGCAAGGAAATAACACGTCAGTTTCAATACAAAAAAGTGGACGAGCTGCAGGTAATGACAGGTCATCTCGTTCTAACGTTTCAAACGATAGACCATTTCATTCGAACGTTTCGAACGACAGACCATTTCATTCAAACGCTTCCGATAACCCTTTCCACGAAGGCCATGCAGTACCATCTCTCGGCCAAATCCATATGTCTGAAGGCCTAACGTGTGTGGAACACCCGGGCAGAGACCTTGAATTTTTCTGCCTTGGCTGTAACGCTCTTGTTTGCGCGTATTGTGCGGTCAGGGGCCACAGAGGTCAAAGATGTGAGTGCATTGCTATTGAAGACGCTGCCGGGAGACTGAGACCACGCATGGAGGCATTAAGGAGGAGGCTTCGCGGGCAAATGTCGAGGATGGAGCAACTGAGCCGAGGGGACACTCCGGCTGATGGCATGCTTGATGCTAGTAGAACCAGAGCTATGGAAAAACTGGACGAGATAGAAAATAGTTTAAGTAGATTCGCTCAGACGTGTTTGGAAAGTGTGGAAGAACTTCGACAACAAACAAGAGAGGCAGGTAGAGGGTTGATGACCGAAAATGCTCAACTCTCTCGCCTTTTTGACAGCATACAGGAAACGAAGCTAACGTTTGAAAATGTAGTGAATTCTAATTCTGGACCAGATTTGTTAAATTGGCTATCTAGAATGGAAAAACAAGCAGGCGACTATGATGCAGCCATTTCTTCATCCTCCCACACCAATACGCCGTCAGAAGCAGAGTTTGTGGCGCACACGGTCTTCAGTAACTTTTTAAGGAACCCTCCTCCTGTCGGGTCAGTGAGGGTCAAGCACGACAATGGTGGACAGTCACAACGCAATCAGGGATGTAGAATACAGTAGTCTGAACCTCTGTCCAGGTTAGCTCAGAGACGGACCCTTCTCACGTACTGTGTCGATAAAACATTTGTATTTGTATTTAATAGGACGTCATTGAACATTTGCTTCCACCAATGTTTGAAACTGAAATAAATACAGCAAATATTATCCTGTTAATGTTCTGATTTCTGTATTATGTTGATGAGTTTCCTCTTGAACAGCTAGTATATTTAAAAGTTCTGCTTAAGTTACACAAACGTTCCTTATCTTAGGGAAATCCCTTAAACTAATTTTACCCATAGGAAAGCATTTATTACAGTTACGGGAAAATTAAAATTAAATTAATATTTTCTGTACGCCAGTGATGCTTTCCTATGGAAACAATCTTCATTGAAGAGACTTCCTTAAGCTAAGAAGGGTTTGTGAAACTAAGGCCTACATCTTGTCCAAAATACATGTATAGTGGTTAAAGCAGGACCATCTAGCAGGGATAAATTTAATAGGATTTATTTCGCAGGGACAAATATCAAATTAACCACATGTTTTGTATTGAAGGAGGCTTGTTTTTAAATCATGGTCGACCTTCGTTCATGCATACTAACAATTAAATGCAACACCAGTATACTACAGTATGCGAGTATATTCTGTGCAAACAGAGTCCAGCAATCCCCCATGTAGATATTTAATGAAGGACAAATAAATGTTGATGATTGTATTGTTTACACGTGGTTGGGATCAGTCGTTTATAAGGTTAAATAAAACATTTAACTACAAAGCCTATTTATAAATTTGTCAGTTATATGATTGTAGACAGGATTAGATTAATCCCGACTGGTCACACACGTGTATTAGGACCACCGTAGGAAACACGAACAACGTCCAAATCATTAAACACATATACCGTCTATATAATTAAACACCAACAACATCTAAAGCATTTAACACCACCAACGTGACGTCTTAATGATTAAACACCAGCAACGTTTAAATCATAAAAACGTTAGATACATTTTACACTCACTACTGCAGTATAGACAATTTAATTAAAATTCGACACTAAGTCATGCTACTACACAGAGTATTGCAGTAAGATAGAATAAGATTTTAATTATAATGCATTGTAATTATCCAAAATCTGCATCATTGACAGAATGGAATACGAACTAGTGTCTATGCAGTAACAAGGAAGATTTAAGAAATATGCAAACCTTTGATATTGCAAACCATTTGTTTGGACTCTTCATCGTATCTTTGACTGATTTACTTTCGACATTTCACTCCACTTTTAAAAAATCAACTGAAGTTTATTCATGATAACACGATCTTGTTAGTCCTTTTGACTCAGTGTTCCATAACCCATTTTTGATAGTTATTTTTACCGATACTGCAGAGAAGAGTTTGAAATACAAGAGACTGCGCGATGTTTCAAAGTTCGATTAGCCTAAATCACATTTTCAAAATATGATTTTTGAGGAATCTGAAAAAATGACATTTTTTTTTGTCTTTATTGTCATTATATGATCATTTTAAATCCGTATACATAAACGTTGAGTTTTGAACTTCCCATTATTGAAGATATACTGGTATAAAAAGAACACTGCTTTAATTTATCGTTAAGCTTGTCAGCTTTAATCATCTGGACCCTGGACTGGGTTACATCAGGTACCCTGTTTTAACGACACATATAGCTGACTATAAAAAAGCCATGATATGTTCATAATGTTAATTAAAAACAAAAAAACTAAATGTTCACAATGATACCCGTGATTCAAAAGTAACACCACAGGATCAATAACAAAATAGTCATACTTATGTACTGTAAAAAAAATGAATTTAAAAATAATCATCAAAATGTCATTTAGGCAATGAAGTTAGATGCAATTTGACTCATATGACTAATTAAGCAAGCGATATTTCAATTCTCCAGTGTACAATGTCACATAACCTTGATATCACTTACCTGGTAATGTGATTGGTGGAGATAGAAATATACGAGTCTTCTGACACAATATGACGAGAGTAATAGTATCATCACCATTTTACAACTATGTGAAATCGATACAAAACTATTAAGAGAAACACTTCGTACGTATATTTGTGGATTCTCTTAAAATGTACGAAACCGATATTTGTTATTCACACATAAGAATTAAGGGTCTTATAGATGGTTCTGTGTAAAACGTTCGGAAAGAGTCGGTGCTCGTCTTATTGGCCCTGTGTTAAGTCCCTTCCTATACTGTGACGTTCAATGATTCCAGTCGGGCAGGGTATGTACTGGTGTAGTAAGAAACGTCCGATAAGGGACACCGGGCGTGTTCCCCAGTCACCCAAACGTCTATTCTACACTTCAGAATGGCCATTCTTCTAGGACGAATAGGAACATTCGATTATTTGAAAACGCTGCTGATGTTCCTTCTTTCACGATTTTGGATATGGAGACGGACACAGAAATAGCAGTGTAAACAGTAGTAGGACCAGACGGCATGGCCCAGCGCGTGATCACAGGAGTGGAGAATGATTACCTTATGTGTAGTATCTGCCTGGGTAGGTACAACGACCCCCGTATACTTCCCTGTGGACACACCTTTTGTCGACAATGTTTATCTGATCACATCCAGCAGACTGTTAGTGGTCGGAGCAATCGTCAGTTTATGTGTCCCATAGACCGATCACCCGTACCTAGTCCGGCCCAGAGTCGCCAGCCCCGGGAGTGGGCCAACACGTTTCCAGAAGACTCCTTCCTAGCTAGTTTACTTCATGCTGTTCACTTACACGAGGATGCTCGAGCTGGAGGGCACATCGTTGTGCTTCCCTCGAGGAGACGTCAACCTAACCGACCAGCCCCATCTGGTTCGGTTAATGATCCCCAAAATACTACTGAGGAACCTCCTCCACCACCGAGAAACCTTTCTGAGGGTCTGACCTGTGTGGAGCACGCGGGTAGACTCTTGGAGTTTTTCTGTCTTGGATGTAACGTGCTCGTATGTGCTCACTGTGCCGTAAGGAACCATCGCGCGCCAAGGTGTGAATGCATAGCAGTCGATGAGGCGATAGATAGGCTGAGACCACGTGTTGAAGCCTTGCGTCAGCGCTTTCAGAACCAGATGAACCACATAGAACAGATTAGTAGGGGTGAAATCCCGGTAGACATGGTACTTGAAAACAGTAAACCCCGAGTGTTACAGCGACTCACTGAAATGGAAACCCAACTTTCAAGGTTTACGCAAATATGTCTTCAAAGTGTCGAAAATCTCCGCCAGGAAATTCGTGAGAGTAGTGCCAGTAATACAACAGGAAACCCACAGTTATCTTTGCTGTTTGATGCCATTCAAGAGACTAAGTTGACATTTGATAACGTTATGCAGATTAATTCTAGTCCCGATTTGCTGAGTACCTTACCTCGAGTTGAATCTCAAGCCGACGAGTATGATGCTGCTATGATGGCGGTTTCAGAGTACAGTACTCCTTCCTCTGAGATTGAATTTCTTACAAACGCTGCCTTCAACAACTTTCTGAGAAACCCTCCGCCAGTTGGTTCAATAAATATCAAAAGAGCCCCTAGGACACATTCACAAGTTCAGAACACGAGGGTCAGTCAAACGACTACCAACACAAGAACCAACACTAGAGTTGGCCGGGATCAGAATACTAGAAATAGACAGGGACAGACTAATAGAGCTAATCAAGGGCAGACCTCGAGAGTCAGAAGAGAGGGCACCTTCAACGTCACTCCAGCCAACAGGACTGGGGCTCCCGTGTCTCAACAGACTCCAATCGTGCGCCCAACTGTTACGCCTCGCAACCCTCCCCGACAGATGAATCCCCGAAGGAGAAAGGGCCCACAAAAAAGTAAGTCGACCATCAATGTGAAGAACCTTCAGGAGGACACGATGACGTGGCAGCTTACCGGAATAACATTTGTTGGATATTCAGTGGTCGTTGTAGATTCGTACAACCACATGGTCCGACAGTGTAGTATCGCCGGGTCCCCCACCATGAACAAGTCTTTCTACATAGAAAGTCCATTAGGGATCACAAGCCTGACGGACCCAACGGAAGTGGCAGTCACGCAACCGGACAAACGGAAGGTGGTGATCCTTACACTGGACCCGGATATACGAGTCAAGGAAACCATAGGCACACAGAAACAGTATGAGGCGATCAGCCAGCTGAATGGCATCTATTTCGCTGTAACATGTACAGAGGGTCGCCGCTGCGTGGATATAATTGATCGGGTAGGACGGATCCAAAAGAGTATAGAAAGGTCACAGTTATTTCGAGCGCCCAGATATCTTACCATCACCTCGGAAAGTAGTATAGTGGTCAGTGACAGGGAACAAAAGCATGTTGTGTGTATGACCCAGACAGGACAGGTACAATGGACATACCCAACCCCGGTCTCCCCGTGGGGTGTGGCTGCAGACGGAACCGGAAACGTGTACGTGTGTCTGGACAATAACTGTGTGCACGTGCTGTCGGAGGACGGCTCACTGATAGATGACAGTTTCATTGCCGCCAAAGATGGAATTAGAGTGCCCTATGCCATATGTGCGCGATCTCGTCAGGTAGCAATAACCGAGTTCGGCTCTAGTCTGTTTGCACCAAACAGTCCATGGGTACATGTTATTTCAGCATAAAATTCATGGTAATGTGTCCATCATTCTGGTGGTGCTTGGGAGAACTGGTGGTATCATACTTATCAGTGCAGGGACACCTAAGTGTTATAATTATCGATTAAAAATATCATATTATTAAACAATATTGAGGGCACCATGCTTGGTAGTATTATAATGATCGGTTAAAAATATTTGTTTATTATATAATACTGGGGCACTTGGAAGCATTATAATGTTAAGTCAAATAGAGTATATAATTGCATAAAACTGAGGGTACCCGGTAGTATTATAACGAAAAGTTAAATTGGTTGTATTACTGTATATTACTTGGGACGGTTTAGTCTCGCCTAGCATTCATTTCTAAAATACCTAGTCTCACCTAGCATACATGTCCATCTAAATACTTGTTTTTATATCAGAACTTATGTCTATAGAGACACGTGGTAAAAGATGGTATATGAATATTAAAAAATGAAAAAGGATACGTACATTTTTATTATCTTTAAGAAAAAAGAAAACAAAAGTGTTTATACAATTTTGAGCCATGATAAAACATCACAGCTGTGAGATACTCGTCTGTTATTTCAACCTTTATTTATTGTTGATCAGAATTAAAGCCTCATTAACTAACCTTCATATCGATGATTGTTTAAACATTCTGTAATGCATTGTCAATGTATCATCTGTGTTTCCTCCAAATTGAAGAGCATGATAATAGATCATAAATACATACAATGTAACAATGATAATACATGAATAATACATTAATTACAAAATGACAACAATCGTGACGTTCATACAAGTTCCCAAACGAATATACATATGGTTAAATTATAGGTTTATGTAGCCATTAAATATAGACGAATGATACCTTGCCTAAAATCGGAAAAAAATACATTTTCCTTATATTAAAAAGGCAAGTATTGGTATGACATTATTATTCTAGTTCAACTGAGACAATAGCGGTTGACAGAATGTTGTTTTATTTTTATGGTTATGCCTACAGAATTTAAATCTCAAGCTGATTTTGCGAGGGCATCTGATAGTAGTGCGTATTGTAATTAGTATTGCATAAATAGAGATTGTATTATTATATGATACTGGAACACGTGTAGTAGTGTAGTATTATAATGATCAGTTAAAGGGATTATACCATTGTATAAAACTAGGGAACGTATAGTATTATAATGATCAGTTAAAGGGATTATACCATTGTATAAACTAGGGAACGTATAGTATTATAATGATCAGTTAAAAGGATTATGACCATTGTATAAAACTAGGGAACGTATAGTATTATAATGATCAGTTAAAAGGATTATGACCATTGTATAAAACTAGGGAACGTAAAGTATTATTATGATCAGTTAAAGGGATTATACCATTGTATAAAACTAGGGAACGTAAAGTATTATAATGATCAGTTAAAGGGATTATACCATTGCATAAAACTAGGGAACGTATAGTAGTATAATGATCAGTTAAAGGGATTATACCACTGTATAAAACTAGGGAACGTATAGTATTATAATGATCAGTTAAAGGGATTATACCATTGTATAAAACTAGGGAACGTAAAGTATTATAATGATCAGTTAAAGGGATTATACCATTTTATAAAACTAGGGAACGTATAGTATTATAATGATCAGTTAAAGGGAATATACCATTGTATAAAACTAGGGAACGTATAGTATTAAGATGATCTGTTAAATGTAAATTAAACACTGTTGAAATGTAAACAAATAAAAATATTCGAACATTAATTTTCTCATGGGTTTTAATTGTTTTCCCAATTTTAGAATACCTGGTATTCCAATATGGATAAACTACACCGAGAGGGAACGCTAAAGGTTTGGAGTCAATCCAGCTAGAAGCAGCAAGAAAGGGAGATAATCACAATACTCTATATAGATCGACGCAGAAAACTAGTGAAAGAAGAGATTTACATACAAATATTACCTTATTTGACAATGTTTGTCCCGCTGATGTGTTTGAAACAACATAATCACCCAATGAAATATGATACGTACCAGTTAATACACAACCTGTCGTGTGATGGTGTATTGACAAGAACTGAACTTTGCAGTTCATGTTTTATACCTCGAATTGAAACGTCCGATCTCTCTGTTTCCTGATTTAAACATTTTTTATTTGTCATTCAACAAAAAGGATTAGGCACAAGTTATCTCAACTTAGAAACGCCCTCTCCCATACATTTCATTATATTGATTACATGACAACAACAACAAATATATTTATAATATATATGAACAAAGAAGAAAGGAAGGGAAAAGGGAAGAAAAGAAATTTAGAAGAATAAGAAAGAGAGATGATAGGATAATACTACTGACCTTAAAATCTGTTACTATTTTTAATGTAGGTTTGGACTATATGGAAGATATTTTCATTGTCTTCATCTGACAAATTTGGAGAACCGTACATAATAACATTTAGAGAAATATTACAATAACGTGAGATATCATCAATCAAAATTTGTCTTTGTCTGATATACAGCATACAATCAAAAAAGTAATGGACTGCATTTTCACACTCATTTCCACATGCACACAT